ATGGGCAAAATAATGATTTCAAGGTTCATAGTACGGAAGTTAATTCATCTTCACCAGCAAGATCGTCTTTTAGGGTTTAATAACGTCAACCGTTGAAGAACACGAAGCTTCATGTCTGCCTCTAACGTCTTCTTGGTTAAAATGCAAGGGAGACACGAAACTTGTTAAAGCGGCACCACTTGTCTCAGAGCGCGCTCCTCGCCAAGTCACTTTCAGAGCTGCCTCTCTTTCTACCCCGCCTAATTAAGTGCTCACGCCAGTGCACGCTCACTAAAAGTGACAAAAGGACAAGGAAGCGCCTCGAGATAAGGATTTTCTAACCAATAGGGTGCTTCCGCACTGGACGAGTCCCGCCTTGCTACGGGAGCGAACGGCGCCTCCCTCTTCTCCCCGTTGATCTAAGTTGAGTCAAATGAACGGTGGGACAACGTTCTCTGAAAAGAAGAGGTTCAGTAGTAAGGCATCAAGAATAGTATGTGTTGAAGAGAAGGAGTCATAATTGTCAGAACTTTTGATTGAAGAACCGTCCTAAGCCCGTTACTACATGTGAATGATACACAATTCAAGACTTACACCAATTGCAAAGAACCCCTCTGAACTCAGGTACATGCTGGAGCTGTTTTCACCAAAAGTAATACAACCCGTGCAAAGAACTAAAGATGCCTCATTGAGGCAAATGTCACACGAGGCGGAAAATTCAATTGGTTCTCAGCCTCTCCTTATGTTACTTTTCTTTCCAAGATTGACGTGATCATCATGTCCCATTGCGTTCTGATCTCGACTCGTTCAGTGAGGCGATAACTGGGCCCTTCGCCTCGATTAATGGCTGGCTGTGCAACACACCAGAATAGTCAGTAACAAAGGAAATTAAATCACAATGAATCTGAACTAGGACAATGGGATGCAATCTACCTGTAAAGAATGAAGGGATAATTTCTTGGTTTAAAGTGAGTATTGAGGACCTGCCCAAGGACAAGTCCGTAAAATCATAAAATAAAACTCTATCATGTCCCAGAAAAACTCCAACCATTATCTTTGACTAATTTTCAATAGTGGTGATTTCCGTCGTTTAAAACTTACATCATGTAGTTAACCTGTAACTGGCCAAATGCTCATATACTCCTGATGCGACCGTTGTAATACGCCCGTCGTAGCTCATGCGTCAACCTCTGTCACACTTTCATCTTCACATACATCATAATTATCGTCACACTTCGCCCCAGCTACCCATCGGACCGTTAGACGCAATTACAGAACCTGTACCCAGAGATCCACCTATGTCCCAGTAATGTCGAGATGAGACACTACTACGGCGGGCGGATCGTCTGGTGCTCTGACTCGCGCAACTACTCGGATGCCGAATTGCCACTGGACTTCCGGGCGTCGTAGCTTTGAACGTTCGGCGTTCGGCGGGAGGTCGCATGCGTGAAACCAACGGGTGGTGTTGACGGACGCGAGCCAGCTTTGCGGCTGTGTCTTGACTATTCGACGTAGCTAGGTGAGCTGGTGTTGATGGGGGCGGATTGCTGCTTCGTGGCATGAAACGAGAGCGTAGATATCTGAACACTAGCTTCATATCAAGATCCTTCTCCCATTCCTCTTGAGTGAACATGTTACTCATAGGAGTGTCTTGTCGTGACATTTGCGTTGCTTCGGCCGAAGGTTCAGATCTACCATGAATGTTGATGGGCTGTGATGATGTCTGAATTGTTGGTTTGAATTGTGGGAATGACGCGTGTTCGTGCTCTGTTGGTCGAATGTTGTCTGTGGCGGAATGAGATGAGTTTGACTCCGGGATGATTGGAAGGCCAGCGTAGGGAAGTGGCATCTGCTGGACTCGGGTATAGGTTGAGAATGCACCAGGATGATGCGAAATATGGCTGACAAGGGAACCAAGCTCCCTCGACATCCTTTCCAGCATGTCCAGCTGCCATTCCTCTCTAGAGGCAAACTGTCGCGACTCCCATGCCAAGGTTTGGGAAGCGCGGGGTGTTGACGATAGATCTTCATCATCCTCAGGTACCGTTTCTCCCAGGAACACTGAAATCGATCGATCGTCCATTCCAACTACATCTCGCAAGAATCTTCTGGTGACCTTGGAAAAGAAACCTTCTGAATCCGATGATGTTCCAATAGCATCCTCATCGTGCCATGTCATGTTGTCTGATTCTCCATCATAGGCAAGGGCCGACGGGACAGAAGGCACATTGGAGGATGGGCGTTTCTGAATAGATGCTTGCGAAAATCGTCTCCTCCTTGTCTCGCGCTGAATCTCACCTAGCAGTACTCGACTGTGTTCCAGTCGCCAAGCTTCAATTCTTTGGCGCTTCTCTGCCTCATGAACCTGGTCATGCTCTACATCGAGCTGCCGCAGATCAAAGCTCTCTCTTCGCTGATATTGCCGTCTGGGATTGAAGCGTTCGAATTGGTAGATGTGATCCTGTGCTTCGGCCCCCAAGGTGGGCTGGTCAAGGTGGAAGGATCCCAGACCATCGTGGCCGGGAAACACTGGCCCAGATCCCTGCTGTTCTTCCTGTGGCTGATACTGCACTGCAGATATTGAGCGAAAGCCAGGCAAGTGGCCATCTAGACTATCTAGCTCGGCATCATCCTCTTCATCAAGACCAGATGCTGAGGCAGATTGGCGTGACTCAGCCTCCGATTTCGCAGCTGAGTTCAAACTGCCCAGATCTCCCACTCGTGATCTTCCAGGAGTTTTCAGCGAGTGGTCCGTTTCGGTGAGATATGATGTTGTTGTCACATCAGTAGGCGCGAAGAGCACCCATGTCTGCGACTGTTCTGGTTCACGTTCTTGGGTGATTGGCACCTCTCTCCGGGGGATCTCTTGCTCGTCGACAGGAGCCCGAACGACGCGTTGGACCGACTGTCGAGTCGGCTGGTGAAACGCCATGATTGTTACGCTCGTTGTAATTGTCGCGAAGCTGCGAGGTTGGCGCCGATAAGGAAATGGCGGACAAGATAAGATGCGTTGATGATGGAAGTGGACCCCCTAGATAACTGTATCCGCCTATGTCGGGGTGCTGGCGGAGGCGATATGCGGCAAAGCGGAACAAAGCAAGTAATAGAGGACTTGGATGCTCGAGGTCGTCAACCGCGAGCAGTCCAAGGGGTGAAAAAAGGTGAAGGTATGAAGAAAAAGACAAGAAGATTTGAAAACAAGATGTTGGGGGAAGAAAGGGTTTGTAGTATCACAGAGATAGGGAGAAGAGAGGCGGGAGGATTGCAGATGGGACCTTTGGAGGGGCCAGTCAAGCACCTCAGCGCAAAGTGAACTGCACCAAAGGAAGCTAGGCCAGTTATCTGTACCTTAGAGGGATGCTACGCTCATGGGCGTCATCTAGACGCTATAGTCGGGGGTTGATCGGCGGGTGGGGGGGAAGACGCTCGCGTGTTCACTTGTCCATCCATCCGCCATAGCCAGTGAAGCTCAGCTGCCTTTTAACTCAACAAGACACAGAGAAACAAGCATGTACAGTACCCGGAAACACGGGTAGAAAGTACCACTGCATAATGCTGGGTATCGATATGTTAAGAGTTAAGACGCCTTAAGACTATGCGTTCCCACTCAACAGAGGCCACCCGCATGAGTCGCGAGACGCGGATGGATAAGACAACCCCAAGACCGCATTGAGACAGACGTACAACCCTGATTCTAGCTCTGGCTCTTCTGACGTGGACAGGCGTAGCAATCTTGTTGACGAAGCCCGAACAAACATCCATGATGGCATTTCGGGCCTGCTTATCACTTCATGCCGTGCTGACCGATATTTCAACCGCAGCCATAAGTTGATATGCCTAATAAGAAGTCGTACGGTTAAACCATCGTTACATTCTTCGAGAAGGAAAAAGGGCCCGGCACATATCCACAGCCAAGATCAGATGCAGGGTGATAAGTTGCTACCCATCAAAGACAGATCTGAGGTACCTATGAGCTAGTCTGCCCGTAGTCCCGCCCAAGGTGACACAACCGCAGGTGAGGTGCCTTCATGATCCCCCAGGGCCTCCATTCCATTTGTCCAATGCCAGCTTTAGCCAGCCACTTCTCATCTCATACTGCATCTGACTGTGCTAATGGATGCTACTAAAACCGACCTAAAGGAACAGCGCCACACAATAGACACCGACTATCAAGTATCTCACTACTCGGTACAACTGAACCTGATTAGTTTTCACGAGAAAGAACAAAGAGGTCCCCGAGCGATGAGTAAAAGAATCCTCACCTCATACAACCTTACGATTCATGTTTCTTCGTCTTAACCAAGGGGGCTCCATCTCGTCCAACGATAACCCCTGATGTCTTCTGTCAGACTGAGGAAAAAAGGCGTGCGCTACCTGTGACCTTCATGGCGTCACAAATCACCCAAGTGAAGTCATGTGGTCCCAAGACAAGCGTAGCCGTACTGCGAAACTGCCCCAACAAAGACATTGCATGTCTCTGCCGACACTCTTGAAGTGCAGCCTTCTATATGCAAAAGCCCAAGTACCTTGAAATGACATATAATAAGAATCGAGAAATGGTAGTATTCCTCCTGCATCAAGATTCCCCCAAGGTGAGCGGGAGGACACCACCATGGTCGGCAGAGAGTACAAGTGGGGATGCGGACAACACGACCCGCCAATCACCAAACCAAACGTGAGAGGAATGCCAGGCTTGAGCTGATCGATGAGCAACTGTCTGACTACGATAAGCCAAGAAGTGCATGGCTTAGAAATTGAGAGGCACATTTCAATGTTACAGATCTCTGAAAATCCCATCCGGTGCTTAGATAAGACCTATCACACTAAGTAGGTAGTCAAAGTCGGAAATTCTTTGCATGATATCATCAATCATGAGATGCACGATGAAGGAACACAATTCTGAATGCAAGATTTCAATTTGCCTAACCGGCACCTTTCAACTAGTAAAGTCTCGAGAGGTCCTTATTTGACAAGCCATTTTGACGCCAGAAAACCCAGATTCCATCCTGTCCATCATTTCTTTAAGCCTCAGACTTGAAGGCATCGGGGAAGCGGCGGATGTTGCGCTCCAGAGAACCGTGGTTGGAAAGGAACTGGACGTAAGCACCGTCGACCTTGACACGGCCAGCAGCCTTCTTGTCGAGGTACTCCTCACGTCGGAGAGGGGTGAAACCCCAGTTCTTGGAGACAATGATCTTTTGTCGGCCAGGGAACTTGTACTGGGATCGTCGGAGGGCCTCAAGGGCGATGGCACGGTCTGGTAGTTGATTAGTAAGATGGTCCAGAGTTACAAAACGGATTACACATACTGGCATCACGAGTGCGGACGCTCATGAGAATCTGGCCAATGTTGACACGGGCGACAGTGCCGTTGGGCTTACCCCAAGCACCACGCATACCGGTCTGCAGTCTATCGGCACCGGCACAAGACAACATCTTGTTGATACGGACGACGTGGAAGGGGTGAGCGCGGACTCGGAGGTGGAAACCCTCCTTACCGGTGTTCTTGACGAGGTACTTGTTGGCGCAAATACGGGCGGCCTCGAGGGCCTCGGAGCTCAGCTGCTCATACTCGTTGGAGACGAGGTGAATGCAGAGAGGGAAGTCGTCAACATTGGCGCGCTTTCGGCCAAGATCGAAGATTCGGATCTTGGGGTCGGGGACACCACGGTTGAACCGAGACTTGGGGTACGGCTGGAGGAGAAGTCAGCATGATACTATCTCCAAAAGTTGGTGATTCATAATCAGGAAGACCACCCCGCAGAAGCAAGGCACTGGACATTTCGTCATGGAAATGAACCAGCGAGGTCAAAATCACAATATTTCTGGAGATGATTCGAATAAAGAAAAACGCACCTTGTTCTTGCAGTACCGGTAGCAACGAGCAGGACGGCGCGCCATTTTGTCGGAGGTTTGATGGATATCCGGGTTGATGGTGTTGGTGGAGGAGAGAACAGAGCAACACACAAAGAATCTCCCAAACAGCCTTTCTCGCAATGTCTGCTAATTTGTCAGCGAATGAGGTCAGCGGGTAAATGTCGGCTTAGGGCTCTGCACGGCAGGAGCGTATCGGGCTTAGCGCGCTCCACGCATTTGCCTTTCAAAAACCCATGCAACTTTTTCTTCACACATTCAGCTTCCATCAACGAACGTCAAGTAAACGCCAACCCGTCGCCCAACAGTCACAATGGCCCCCCAGAAGAAGAGCAAGAAGGATGCCAACAGCATCAACTCCAAGTTGGCGCTTGTTATGAAGTCCGGAAAGGGTATGCGCAGAGTCCTGAGATACAATCAAAAACGAACTTTGGACTGACCAATTTTGCAGTCACTCTTGGCTACAAGTCTACCCTCAAGAGTCTCCGATCTGGCAAGGCCAAGCTCATCATCATTGCTGGCAACACTCCTCCTCTCCGCAAGTCTGAGCTCGAGTACTACAGCATGCTGTCCAAGGCCCCCATCCACCACTTCTCTGGAAACAACGTAAGTCCCAAATCGCTATGTCTCTTTACAAATACCGTCATGTTGCGGGAAACTGCAACATGATCCTTCTCGGAAATGTTGGCTTGCTTGACAACATTTCTTTGGTCCCAAGAACTTGAGTTCTTGTGGCCTACCCAGAGAAGAAGTCATCCGACTTTGGAGGGTTCATAGGCTTACATGTCCACCTATAGATTGAGCTCGGTACCGCCTGCGGTAAGCTCTTCCGTTGCTCCACCATGGCCATCCTCGATGCTGGTGACTCCGACATTCTTAGCGACCAGCAGGCTTAAGTGTCTTGGCTGATAGAGAATGCATTTTATGGCGTTTGGGGTAAAATGGGTCCAGGGCATTTGAGGATATACCAATCTGAGTAATGAAAAAGCGAAAACTCTTTGTTGAGAACATGTGATGCAAGAAAGCTGGCAGTTCTCCCCTTGACCTATCTGTCTTGGGCTTCGTTGGACTGGTATCGATTACCAGTTCAAGCCAATAAAAAATAAAGCTCATGAACATTGTTCCCCGCCAATATCTGTCTTGTCCCTGTGATTGTAACATTAGTTGTCATGCAAATGGATTTGTCAATGCCGCGTTCAGCGTTGCGCCAAAAGAGCACTAACGTATGAACTCTGTCACCCCGTTGTCAAGGACTCAATAGAAGCACTCCCCTTCACCTGTATATGTTTAAAAACTCTGGTTGATCATTATCCTTAGCTGAACAAGGTTTCCTGGTTCTTAAGTCAACATGTTATTTTTTGTGTTATCCCTGTTCGAGAAGCATTAAACCTTAGAGGGTAGGAATGCACGGGTTGTTGAGGAGCAACCCGCTACTGGGAACGCATGACCTTACCAGCTTCAAGAGCCACTCACTTAATTGTAAACCATAAGGTTCAGGCCTTGGACGTGCAGTAACTAGGGACGCTAACTGGTGTTGCGATGGGAATTTCGAATGCTTGGGTTAGCTGGTTGTGAGTCAACCACTACATGGCATACATATAACATGATCAGTTTTGGAAGATATGCTCATTCCTCAGCCACTCAAGTGATACATTGACGGGCATTTCATCCAAATCTCATTTGCCAATCTCCCATTACAATTCTTCCTAATTTCCAGGTGCATCATTAAAGGTACTTTACCAGAGGCCATGCATAGTACGCATGGATCAAGTATGGCTCTGTTGTTCGCGGGAAAACTTCCAGGCACAAGCAAATGTCCCCAACACCTTCTGGGGAAGATCCGTGGCATTCATTAATGAAAGGGCCCATATAAGGAGCTGTTCCACTCATTGACACGACAGAATAACATTGAACAGCCACACATTACCTCTTACGACGCTACGGCGCCAGCAGTGTTACGGATATAGATTGGCTGCTACAGTATGAGTAAATAATTAAGATTAATGACTACCTATACATGTGTACATCGAAACCTTTCTATAATGCTCCGTCCCTTACTTAGGTAGGTAAACCATAATCGAGGGAGGCTGTTGGCAATAGAGTGTGAGTCCCTGCATATCAGGTCAGCCAACACCCGTCGAATCCTTTGTCCTCGACTGGCAAGTTTTGCGGCTTCGTCCCTCAACATCTGCACAGCATTCACTCTTCTGCAACAAATCCCAAACTGGAGTCGTTTCTCAAGGCTTATCGCTATCAATCCAGTTACACAGTATAGCACAGTATTTCCTGGCCTGGCGCAGCCTCCACTGTTTCAACAGTTGAATGCTTGGATGCCCCAGAAATATCGACCTTCTGGACGCCGACGCCACACGCTAAAGTGCAGGCCCCTACCCCGTACCTGGCAACGTCCCTTCTGAGGCGCAGACGGACTGTCCGCTACTGTATTGGACAGACGAGACACACTCCTATTTCAGCTTCGACCCTTCTTGTTGGGTTTATTATCTTTGAATACGTTCCAGATCACCGGGCGAACGTGCAACACAATCGGCCGCAAGCAGAAGACACTACCGCAGGTTTTTTAAGCCGTACAATATCTATACTCGACCTCGAAACAACCTGGTGTTGCTCTCGCTCCCTTGAGACACCGCCAACTCTTCTTACGCTGCATCGCTAAAAGCATACGACCCAACACAGCCCAACCAAACAAAACAATTAAATATGTCTGCTGCTACAAAGAAGCCTCCGGCGGGTGGTGTTGGCCGAGTTTCTCATACCGAATCTAATTCTTCAACAAGTCCTTCTCCCTCACGTTCCAACTCTCGATCTACTACTCCTACCAGCAATGGCCATACCCGCACTCGATCGCTACGCACAACTGCGCCTGTGTCGGCCCGTGCTGCTATTGCCAGAAGGGATACTCTGAGTGCTGCTGAATCAGACGCTCGAGCCGAAGCTGCTGCCGCCGTTGAAGATCTTCAGAAGCGCCTAGAGAATGAGGAGAAGTCTTCCCTTCAATACAAGCGCCAGGTCGAGGTTCTCCAGTCCAAACTCGATGAGGCGGTCAAGGAGTCGGCGAAGTTGGAGGAGAAAGCGCACGAATACGAAGAACAGATTGAGACTCTGAGTAACGAGAAGAGGGAGATGACTCGTCAGATGCGTGAGATGGAGTCCATTTACGAAGCGGAACGCAGTTCGATTCTTAAAGAGAAGGAAGAAATGGCCAGCCGAGAAGAGGAGATGCAGGCCATGATCCAGCGGCTCAAGGACAGCCTTGCCCAGCGAAACAACATGGCGGAAGAGAGTCGCCCTTCGAGACAACGTATGTCCACATATTCATTCTCTCTGCCATCTTCCCCGCTCACTGGTTATCCAGATTCTGCCGGCTCATCGCCATCGCTCGAAAATGGCAGCTTCGCACCTCCATCCTCTATACAGCGCAGCGACTCGCGGAATAGCTCGAAACTCATTCTTCAGAAAGATAAGCTCATTGAGTCTCTACGACTGGAACTCGCCGAGGCTCAGATTAAGCTGGTCGAGTCAGAGAACCAGGGTGGTGGTCGCCTGCACGAGGTCGAACGACTCCTCATGGAGGCTCGCATGGCGAACGCTCGACTTATGGAGGACAACGAGAGCTACCAGCTGCTTCTACAGGAGCGTACACTTAAGGGTGACTTTGGGCAGAACGACTTCAGCTACATGGGCAGCAACTCCAACCAGGACGCCCTGGCTGCACTCGAGGGCAAGGCTGCTGGTTCTAGTCTTGCTGATGAGTTGTCTGAGGCTACTGAGGGGGAATCTGTCTCCGATGGTGACCGCCGTCTTGAGGCCGAGCTGAAGTCCATGAAGGAGCAGAACAAGGCGCTCACACTATATATTAACAAGATTATTGAGCGCCTTCTTCAACATCAGGACTTCGAGTCCATCCTCGACCAGTCGAGCGATTTGAAAAGCCTCCCAGATACCAACAAGGAGCTTCCTCCGGCCCCTGCCGACAAGCAGCAGTCCGGGGCAACAATCCTCCAGCGAGCCAAATCCATGGCGGTCGGGCCTACCAAACCGAGGCCTAGGCCAATCTCCGTCATGCAGCCCTCCACCAGCTCAAACCACACCGACCCTGACAAGGCACCTAGTATACCGATCGGGTTATCACGTTCAACCAGTACAAGACGGAATCCACGGCCTCAGAGCGACCAATATACTGGGGCTGCCAGCCTGGTCAGCCAGATGTATCGGGGGCCAGACGGCCCCGTCTCTCCACCACTTGGGACTCCACGGCATTCCCAAACCTTCTTCTCCCCGCCGAACAACTCGGGCAACCCTAACGCGGCCGCCCGGGTGCCTAGCGGAGCCTCGGTGGCCACCTCCGGCAACTTTCCTGGGATGCGGAGTGAGACGTCCAGCTTGAGCGGAGAGTCTGGAGAGTTATCCATGTCGACGCCGCCCTCGCAATCACCACCCCGAACCCACAATGATAGGCACACAACGTCGTTCGCGGGAGGCAAGCCGAGGCCGCTTCGACTGGTCCAGGAGAACCAGGAGGCTGTCAAGGAGAACAAGCGAGCCAGCTGGTACTCGCCATTCACCTGGGGGGCCAAGAAGGAGGACCAGCAGGTACCGTCCGGCAACCACATTCCCGAGTAGAGCGGGATAGGGCTGTAGGAAGGGCCTGAGATTGGAGAGAAGATGCTACGCAGTGACACAGAATTAATGAGACGTGACGCTTGATATGTATGTTCATGGGGCATCCTTGGGGACTGATGACTGGTCATGTACGATTTACGTCAACAGATATAGCGGCGTTTGGTTCATGGATTATCGTTGGCTGTATCGACGCCGTCTCGCAAGCAATGGGTGGTGTTTTGAGGATTTGTCCTGTTTGTGCTTGGGATACGTGATGGACAATTCCAAGCTAGTATGGGAGCACATGACTGTTGACGACGAACTGAGAATGGAGGCATGATGTTTCTAGATATAGACTTACGGAAGGCACTCGTATAGCGAGGTTACAATCATGAATATAGTTGACGATATTGGTTTTACGAATCTAGGTGCTTCTTATTGATGCTGGATAATGTCGAATAGTGGTGTGTCTTTTCTAGGGCTGGTATTTTAAGCGTCCTATAGATCCGGATGAATGTACAGCGACACAGCCTGAACGGGAATGTCATATTTGATTCCGTAAACTACTCGACTACATATTATCGAATCTTGAAGGTCATTGAGTTACAAAGCTTTCCCCCATCTTCCTAGCCATTGCTGGCCTCATATGCAATAGAATACTACATATCAAACCTGACCAACCGCAAAGTTGACCGGCTGCTGAATTGTCAAGTTTAGTGAGATGGCGTTCCCTTTCAGACCCTACATGCATCCTGTACAGAATCAATAGTCCCCCCATAACAACTCTAGGATGCTACTTAACCGAGCAGATAAGTGTACAAGCATGTACAAGTTGCGCGATTTCAGACAAGAGCCATGATGTGTAAAGCAGTCATTCGTAAGCGCGCGCATATACTACGACTGGACAACACAGCATACATACTACGGTCCCAGGGGAGTCAGGATTATTGTGATAAGACGGGACAAGTGGTCCGTGGCACGAGGAACATCCCGTTGACAGCTCAGACGGCGCGACGCGGGATGATCATCTGCGCAGGAACCCGAGGAGACGATAGGCCGTGTTCATGACATGTCAGCCCTGGGAATGGGGGTAAGTGATACAGAACAAGCAGGACAATGAATCCAAGAAATAGCGCATGTGGAGGGTACGTATTGTTTTGTGATTCAGAGGGCGCGCTCCGGATTGTGACTGTGATTATCATGATGCGTTATGTCGATGATGATTTGTGGTTGTTATTTGTCCACCACCAACAAGGGTTCAGTTTGGCAGCTGAGTCTGATCTTGATTCCATTCTCACAAAATCCGCAGAAGGAATCGAAGCCAAGCCGGTTGAGGTGGCTAAGCATTCTATTTGGAGACTGATTAACGCCAGTTGATGCCTATCGAGGCTGAATCGAGATCCAGCTTTTCTTATTGTAGCATCTCGAAACTTGTCCTGTCTGTGTGCATGAACTTGGCTACCCTCATGTTACACAAGCCAGGGTTGGAGACTTTCTAGCAAGTTTTGGGATGTTGATACGAGGCAGCCTAGTGAGTCGTGAGTGTAAGACAGAGAGAAAGAGAGACTCAATTCTCTACTGGTATAGAGTTGCAGGGTCAAGATACATGAACTTATAAACATATCAGGGCAGACAAGGTGAAGCCCTATGCCTATATTGTGAACGAAGCTCATCGTAAGATAATTAGAGGTGTGTCTATTCTCTTCTTTCGTGTGATCCTCAAGAGGAAGCTAAGCAGGAAATACATAGGCCATTCACACCCTGTGTCTTGTTGCTTGGCTATATCGATCTTGTCCACCGTAATTGAGCTTGTTCTGACCAAGACATTGGAATTTGTGGCTTGGGTCTTACCCTGAACTTGAGCATCTGCTGTCCAAGCATGTGGCACACTTGCAACCTTGGTGGAGAAGGATGATACTCGTGTCAGACTGTGAGAGGCTGAAGAGTCGAGAACAGTGGCTGTGACTTGAAAGGAGCTCAATATTCTGCCTACACTATCACCTCTAATGTTTCTTGTTCGATTTTGGTTTTAGGCAGGAGGTAGTTGACGTAGGTCAGAGCATTTACTTTTACTCTGTAGTGAACGGAAGCCGAATCTCAGATCCGAGATACAGACAGCGAAGGTCCTCATCCGCGTCTCGGAAGGGCGAACGGATGATACCCCTCCCAAGTTACTGTTACTCCTCCATGCATGATGAGAGGATGCCGACGCGTGCATTACATATGTGCATGGCTTTCAGATGATGCTGGTCCATGTCTGAGACCGAGGTTCATTGACAGGATCCAGGGTAGTTGGAGTGACAGGAGTTTTTGATGGGGCATGATTAACAATGCAGAGAGACATAAGACTTTGCAGTGCAGATTTAGCAGGTCCCAACAACACATATGATTGTGTCTCCTCTATCATGATAAGTCCAAGACCATTCTCAAGGCAAAAGCCGAGGCATTGTTGTCATGATGAGGCCAGCGACACGGCCCGAGCAAGAACATGAACTTGGCATCGTGCAACCACATTGGTACCTACATGCCTTGTGACAATATGTATGTAGCAACGTTGGCGATGACCATCTATCTTGCATATTCATCTTCTGGGGAAACATGGCAAACAGCATCAGCGGCATATGCTTACATACTGTATACGGGACAACTGTGTTAACTCCGTCTCTCCGCCTCGACGCAAGCATCAACCAGGATCTTTTACCCACAACAAAGTACTCCGTACCTACAAACCTTCAGCATCTGACAGTCCCGGACAATTCTTTCCGGTCCCCGAGTAGCCGAGATAGGCAAGCAGTATCATCAAAATGTGCGGTCAGAGCAGTCACGGGGTTTGAACCGCGATACCCAGAGTATACCTGAAACTGTTATTCAAGAGTCGGTGAGGTATTGTAGTGTCAGTGTACTAGGGCTAGGACCGCCGCCGTGCCTGAGATTTGAGCACAACGAGGGCCGGCCTCTAGAAGCGTTCTCCGGTCCCCGGGGGACTTTGATGATTGTTTCCGCCTGGTTTGGCTGGTCGAATGGGGCTTTCTTTTTGCTAGCGGATTTGCCCCGGTCAGACCAGAACGGTCTGCTGGGACAGTGTGTCAGGGGATGACCGGCTATTGTCATTGGGGGCTTGTCCTACGAAGGGCAAAGTCCATGACGTGCAGGCTGAAGATTGGGGCATGTTCGAGGCAGATTCAGGTTCGTGTCAATCCAATGCGAATGAATGAATGAATGTCAAAAAGAGAAGATGATGCAGGCTTGAAGTGTCCACATGATCATGCTGATGAGCCGTGATGCAACACCACACATCGCATCCCATTGCATCCCACGACTGGCCCACTAAGAACCGTTGTCAACGTGGCTCTGGAAGCTCTAGCTATGCTAGCTGCAGTCAACAAGACAAGCCCTCACTGGGGTGTCACAAACACTGCATCGCATAGTGCCCAGGAGTACGGAGCAGCCTATCGTGCAGTGGAGGAATAGGGCTGGAAAGGTTGAAATTTTCACTTCTGACCGTCTTTGTAAGGTCCAGGTCCCTTCTGGAGAGCCACTGCTGCTCGTCTTTATAATCAGCGGACCCTGCCGATGCTTCTGTGTTGCCGTGATGATAGTGACATTGTCTGAGAATATCCGAGACGTGAGACTTGGCGTTGTTGCGAAGCTTAGATTCAGACCAGAAATACCGATGATTGGAAATTGGCAAGACTGTCCTATTCTCTGAGTCTCAGTGTAACAAACCTGATGACCTATGAAGTGAGATGGAGCTTTGTAACTGCAATAAGTTAGCTACTCGCCCAAGTCCACTGCCTAGACAAAGAAGCGAATTGGAAGTCCTCTTGCGACGATCTGAGTGCGAGCAGGCAGAGAAGACATTTTTGGTGTGGGAGCAATCAGGTACCGGCTACAGGGATGGCTTCCGCCAAACAAGGGCTCTCCGCTCTGCTTACGATTGGATCCTTGATGTCGCGCCTGGTGCCAGGAACCGGTTGCAGGGGCTGTTGCGAGTGCGAATTTGGAAGGGACCGGGCTTTGCGGTTCAAGAAGCATCTTGAAGCTTGAGATGTTGTTGGGTTGAGATACAGAGAGGCTCAGTGCGAATTTGATACCTACCTAGTAGACAGAGGAAGCTATTCACTAGGGGCAACAATTAGAGTTAAGAAGTGGCTACTTTATTCTGACTCCTATCGTCATCATCGACATCGTTTAGCATCACTTGATGAATGGTCTTGGCTAGCTTGAGCTTGTTCGGCTTACCATGTCTGTCAGGGAAAGCTGTCAACATCGATCGCCCTACTCGAGTCACATGAGCATTTGTTACGGTGTTAGATCTTTCGGAATCAGAATTGACTTTCAGGAACCAGTTCTGATAAACAAGTTGTTGCTGAGAAACAGCCATCAGCCAGTGAGCGAGTGGACTACAACTTTGGAAGGTTTGTTGAGTATCCTTCAACTGCATTAGTCGTTCTGGGCCCTTCTTCTAGTTACAATGATATAGGGAGACGTAATATTAATTCACTGCGCATATGATGGTGGTAGGAAACAAACATTTCTATCATATCAATGTCAAAGTCGGCACAATCCGTCACTCACTTACAACCCCAAATCACACCCACTCAGACAAACTCAGCAAGGAGAGGGGGAAGAAGACAGACATCCTTGTTGGGACCCAATGAAATGCAAAGAATTGCGACATTATCGTGGCCGAAAACTCTGAATAGCTCGTGAGGTCTGCTTTCTTTTTTCGTCTTTTCTTTTCCTTTCTTTTCCTTTTGCTCTATAAGTATTCTCTGCCCTAAATCATAGCCTGATGTTGGATGGATGTAAATCAGTGTCAGCTTTAGCACCCGCGCTATCCTCCCTTCAATCTAGACTCGTCCAACCCAACAAGACATTGACTCTCTGTGTCTCCAGGGCTTTCGTACCAAGGCGACCCGACAGATTGTGTCATGCTTCAACGCTAAACGCAACTGACCAATCCAATTGATTTACCCCAGCCAGAACTTGCCCCTACGTGATTCCTTTCTGGTTCTTTGCCAGGCCCTATCCCGGGAGCCAGCCCATGTCTCTTATTTTGGGGGGGGCGCTGCTCTTCCGGAAGACTCTCTGAGTGAGCGAAAAAAAAAGGATAGGAAAAAAAGGTACTTTGATCTACGTACCTGGCTGCGTCAGTAATCGGATTTTTAACCAGGACCTGACGGGAGTGCGGATATAGGTACGGCCGGGTACAACACCAGCGTCACCTTTTCTCTCACATCCACATCCATCACATTACGGCCAAGACTACGGATACGTCCACCACCATCTTCTCGCCTACACCCACCGTCACTCCCGCCGACCACTACCATCATACTGTACTCACTCACTCACTCAGTTGCTCGCTCACTACTACTACTACTACTTACTCTCGACCTCAACACCACCACTTTTACGACAATAAACGATACATCTCGTCATCGCACCGTTTTCTCTATTCTGTACATGCCGACTGTTTCGCCCTCGTTTAGTTCGATACTCTTCCTACCTATCTAGTCAACCTGCATTCGCCCTCACCCTTTGTCTGCCCAGCCATATCCCGCCCGTCCGCTTGTGTTGCCTGCCATATACTCGACAGACAGGTGCCAGCAGCCGTCCGGAATAGGTTGGGTTAGCTTCTCTTTGCAAGTTCTCCCTCCTGGACATTCTCGCGGCCCTCGATCTCGGCCATACGCCCATCCTGTTTCAATGACGAGCCAACCACAATGATCTATTCTGAAATCTGCTTTGCAATTCATTGTCCCTGCTAAGGCCCGTCCCGGTGGTATGCTCGCTAGGCATTCACTCCACCATTCCCACAGGCCACCGTCATCATGGACAAGTCATCTGCCGTCTTAGAGGGCACATCTGGCGTCGGTCGTGCGTCTCGTAACGTGACCGACCCATCTGCAACATCATCAAGCGCAACAACAGGAAGTCAGAACTCAAAACAATCCTCTGCCAACAATTCTGTAGGCCCTTCGCCCTTGGCCTCAAGAGATTCTTCCCCCACGCGACGGCCTCGAAGGACTGCTTCAGCAAACCGCTTGCCTGGTAATCGATCTCGAAAAAACAGCCAAACCGATAATAGTCCTTCACGCACGACACGACCAAGCTTGTCCTCCGCTGCTCCATCACGGTCATTGTCCTCGACCAACACCCCAACACTTACACCATCCCAAGAACAACAACAACAACAGATCCAAGCACCGACCCCACAAAAGCCAGGCTTCAACGCAGACCTTAAAGACAGCCCGCGATGGCCCGTATCGCCCCGCCTGCGATCGCCTCCTCCCCAGTTTAGTAACAGACCAGCAATTCCTGCACGTCTCAGCGAACAGGATCTTCCTTCCATTAGTGTCCAACGACCTACACCGTCGCCGCAGCCTATGGAGCAACAAACGATATCAGAGAGCGAGATGGAGGAGTCGCAGTATCCCTCTGGTATGCGAACTCCAGCTCGCGTAGCGTTGGAAACGGTTCAAGAAGTCAGTTTACCAAACTCTCCCAACCCTCCAAACGGGTCGGCTTTAGTGGAAAGGGTGAAGGAAAAGCTATCAAGCACCGACAACTATTCTGATACCGCACTCCCCGATGGACGGGCTCTACGAGCAAAGAACAGCTTGCTTGGTCAAGAGAGTGGAAGCGACACCAGCAACAACAAGGCGGAAACAAAAAGACCGACATCCGTTCCTCCACCCATAATTACTCGACAGTCTAGTGCCATGTCGAATAAGCAAACGAAGTCGAAGCAGGATGGATCCATACAGACCATGACAGTAGAGACCGAGACTGTTCCAAGCGTGCCACAGGTTGCGCTCACAACCGCCCAGAAAAGTGAAGGAACAAACGGAACTCTGAAGACGAAACAGAGCACCGAGACAATAAAACCGAAAAAGGATAAGAAGAAGGTTACACGCAAACAGCCCCCAGTAAATGCAGGGAATGGTGAGCCTGAGCTAGTGACACTGATATTGAGGGATGTTGCTAATATCCACCCAGCATCCTCCAAAGCTGATGTTTTCGAGGCAACAATTGCCAGCGCCGTTGACGAAGCAAACACCTCGGATTCTGAAGAGACCTTTGTTTACGACTCCAACCCTCCAGATGGCAATGATCGGGCTGGACGCCGGTTTCATTCAAGGACTCCCAGTGCTACATCTATGGCTAGCCAGGCTGATCGCCAGAATCTGCGATCCATTTATGGTATTATGGAGAGTGGAGGACCTGCTCATGGACCCAAAAAGACGATGAAATTCGTCAACACTTTTACCAGCAACGGAAACGAGAGCCTGGCAGTCGAACCCGATGATGGCAAGGGCTCTAGCCGCAGTGGTGGCAGTGGGTCAACACGAGGTACGACGAGACACCATCACCACATTGGTCGCTGGGGTAGACAACCTGGTAACGGCCATGCCTCGCTATTTGATAATGAGTCCCCATTTCCGAATGCTGCGAGGTCGAAGCTCGCTGGACCTAATTCTCGCAATTCCTCAGGGCCACCCAGCCCGCGCAACGCTCACTCCAATGCTCCACGACATTTTGGACATAAACGTTCTGCGATGCAAATGTCGTCCAGTTACGATATGGATGACACGACAGGAGCAGATGATGAGCGTACACCTCTTCTCGGCTCGGTCCGCTCAGGTCGTTCAGGTCGTTCAGGTCGAAACCGGCGTGGGCCGCACAATCTGCGACAGGCCGAGTCACAAACTTTTGCAAGACGGTCGTCATACTTAAACCGGTTTGCGGCATGCTTAGTACTTACCATGATGTTCATGCTTGTCATTACTGGCGCTATCGGCTTCATGTTTGCTACCTCGCAGCCGATGACTGGAATCGAAATCACTGCTATCCACAACGTGGTGACCAGCGACCAAGTGTTGATGTTCGATTTGACCGTCAAAGCACATAATCCTAACATCGTCGTCGTCACAATAGACCACGCGAACCTAGAGGTTTTTGCCAAATCTGAATATACAGGAACAGATTCGGACTGGTGGGCTCGACCTTTCCCTCACGGCCCAGATGATATACGTGTGTCAGACGACCCAGAAAACGACCCTCCTCTGGATGATCCCGACCCAGATGACGACCTTCGACCCAACGTTCTTCTGGGACGGATCACAGAATTCGATAGTCCCCTCACTTTTGAAGGCTCTCTTTTCCATCAAGGCACCTCTTCTTCAACTGGAGAGATGCAACTCGAGTACCCCCTGAACAATACAGTGGGGGGCTCGCGACGTTGGGAGCGAATTTACCAGAACGAATTTGACCTGATCGTTAAGGGCGTGGTTAAATATACTCTTCCGATGAGCGCCCGTATCCGCAGCGCCACTGTATCAGGGAGGAAGGCCGTCAGTCCAAATTCTTCAAATGATCCTTCGAACAGTACAAAGGTTGAACCTCCAAACTAGATGGGAGGCTGCCCCGGGAGAGGCAGAAGCCCTTCTGGCCTTTCTTTTGTCAAGTCACCGTTTGTCTTGTGTATTTTGAGCGTGCATAGCATGTCACATTAGGGAGCAGCGGCGTTGGATGTATACCTCCATCCACATTATGGCTGAACATGATAGGGACATGGAGCTTCAAGATTTTGTTTCATTATTTTGTTCATTGGTTTATAGACAGGGCTAACACCTATGCTTCCTGTCCGGTGTTTCTTGGGTTGTTTTCACTCCAAGCCTGACCTGGTGAGCATGTACAAGTTGTGCCGTGTGGTACGGTACACATCTGCTTGCTGGGAGTAGTCTTCGAGAATGGTTCGGGATGGAGTTATTGCTTTGATTTCGTTGCACAAAACCCATAGAAGGAAAAGCGGCAACTATACGTTGTAATTTTAACGGCTTATGAAATACACAAGAAGAGAAAAGAAAGTCAGGCCGACTTGAAGAGGAAGATGTGGACTGGAGCACATATCAAATGCTTCGTAGTTAGGACGGGTAGAAGAGAGTTATTATATCGTTGAATGCAGAATTCAACAGAAAGCCTGTTACTATCATGAAAGAAACATATCGTTGTAATATCTATAGGAAATATGAGCTTCTCATTGTGGTTTCTCGGTTTAGTCATGGACATTGGAGATCAAGGCGCTTGGCAACTTGACACAGTATTATGGCCCTGACAGAACTTAGCAGTGGTGAAGTTTTATTATAGTGCATGTTTGGAGATGTAAAGCCTCTTGGTTTTATTAATACCTTAGGTAGTGGCATTTCCTGGGATATCTATAAATTGTTTCTACCAATGAACGTTTGGCAAAGTCGTTCGTAGAGGGTGTCAGACTTCAACGGAAAGTGGCGGACTGTGGAGCCTAGAGCTCTCTAATTTTGACCCGCATTTATGTTTTGGACTGCTTCTCTTTCTCATCTGAGCTCTGCGCGACCTCGATCTTCCCTCTTCAAACCTCGGGATTCGATCCATTCGACGGCACACTCATTTATCTAATAGCAATACAAGGGACTCGCCGTCAGAATGTCGGGGCGACGCGATTTCCTCAACCAGGCTGCCCCTGAGAACTATGTCGCTGGTCTTGGACGAGGCGCAACAGGTTTCACGACACGATCCGATCTTGGCCCTGCTAGAGATGGACCTAGCGAGGATCAGATTAAAGAGGCTCTTGCGAAGCGTGCCGCTCAGCTAGGCCTGGCGCCGGATAAGAAGGGCAAGGATAAAGAAAAGGATGAAGACGAGGGAGGTGACGAAGAACGATATCAAGATCCTGACAACGAAGTTGGGCTCTTCGCTGGCGGTGTGTACGACAAAGATGATGAGGAGGCCGATAAGATTTGGGAATGGGTGGATGAGAGAATGGACCGAAGAAAAAAGCAGCGCGAAGCACGAGAGCAGGCCGAGAAGGACGAATACGAACGAAACAACCCTAAGATTCAACAGCAGTTTTCCGACCTGAAACGAGCTCTGGCGACTGTCACTGATGACGAATGGGCAAATCTACCCGAAGTTGGCGACTTGACAGGCAAGAATCGGCGTAGCAAGCAAGCGTTGCGACAACGATTCTATGCTGTTCCGGACAGCGTCATTGCGGCAGCGCGCGACTCGAGCGAGATGGGAACAACAGTTATGGATGAGGGCACTTCTTCCAACGCCGGTGGCAGCGATGCTGCAGATGGTACAATGACCAACTTTGCCAAGATCGGCGCGGCTCGTGACAAGGTGCTCAAGTCCAGATTGGAGCAAGCTGGGAGTGATTCTGCTGCGCCAGGCACATCCACTAGTATCGACCCTCAAGGCTATCTTACTAGCCTCAACAAGATGCAGATGAGTGAAGCGCAAGCTCAAGTTGGAGATATCAACCGTGTTCGCGAGCTTCTGCAGTCTGTTGTCAAGACGAATCCCACGAACGCTTTGGGTTGGATCGCGGCGGCGCGACTCGAGGAGTTGGCAGGCAAGAGTGTAACGGCAAGAAAGACGATCGACAAGGGTTGTACACAGTGTCCTAAAAGTGAAGATGCTTGGCTTGAGAACATTCGACTTAACAGCGATTCTCCGAATGCAAAGATTATTGCGCGAAGAGCTATTGAGGCCAACAACACATCAGTCAGACTATGGGTCGAGGCGATGAGGCTAGAGACAATTCCAAGCAACAAGAAGCGAGTTATCCGACAAGCGCTTGATCACATTCCTGAATCGGAGGCTTTATGGAAGGAGGCAGTGAACTTGGAGGAAAACTCCGATGATGCTAAGCTGCTCCTAGCCAAGGCCACCGAACTGATTCCTCTCTCTGTGGATCTCTGGCTGGCCTTGGCACGATTGGAGACGCCAGAGAACGCTCAGAAGGTCCTCAATAAGGCTCGAAAGGCCTGTCCAACGTCACATGAAATTTGGATCGCGGCTGCACGGTTACAGGAACAGCTCGGACAGGGCACCAAGGTCAATGTTATCAAGCGTGGTGTCCAGGTCCTGGCGAAGGAGTCAGCGATGCCCAAGCGCGAGGAGTGGATTGCAGAGGCAGAAAGATGCGAAGAGGAGGGTGCCATTATCACCTGTCAGAACATCATTCGGGAGACTCTAGGTTGGAGTTTGGACGAGGATGATGATCGCAAAGACACATGGATGGAGGATGCAAGGGCAAGTATCAACCGAGGCAAATACGAGACTGCCAGGGCCATATACGCCTACGCACTACGGATATTTGTCAATAGTAGAACGATGTGGATGGCAGCAGCAGACTTGGAAAGGAACCATGGAACCCGAGAGTCGCTGTGGCAAGTGCTGGAGAAGGCTGTAGAGGCGTGCCCTAAGAGCGAGGACCTATGGATGATGCTGGCCAAGGAGAAGTGGCAGGCTGGCGAGGTGGTCAATGCTCGTATCGTTCTCAAACGTGCCTTCTACCAAAACCCTAACAACGAGGATATTTGGCTTTCCGCTGTCAAGCTAGAGTCAGAAAATGGCGATGGCGTACAGGCCCGGAAGCTTCTGGAGGTTGCCCGCGAGAAGGCCCCCACAGATCGTGTATGGATGAAGAGTGTTGTGCTTGAACGAGTGTCGGGCAACATTGAGGCTGCTCTCGATCTTGTCCTTCAGGCTCTTCAGTTATTCCCGGCAGCAGCCAAGCTTTGGATGCTCAAGGGACAGATCTATGAGGACCTGGGCAAAACTGGCCAAGCGAGAGAGGCGTATGGCACAGGAGTCAAGGCAGTTCCCAAGTCTGTCCCCCTGTGGCTTCTGTATGCCAGGCTTGAGGAGCAGGCCGGTCTCACCGTGAAGGCTCGATCGGTGCTTGACCGTGCTCGACTTGCTGTACCAAAGAACGCGCAGTTGTGGTGCGAGTCAGTACGACTAGAACGTCGAGCAGGCAACACAGCCCAGGCCAAGTCAATGATGGCAAAGGCACAACAAGAAGTCCCCAAGAGTGGTCTCCTCTGGGCAGAACAGATATGGCATCTGGAACCCAGAACACAGCGCAAGGCCCGCAGTCTCGAAGCTATCAAGAAGGTGGACAGCGACCCCATCCTGTTTGTGGCTGTAGCGCGCATCTTTTGGGGCGATCGTAAGCTGGAGAAGGCGCAAAACTGGTTCGAGAAGGCTCTTGTGCTGGACAGCGACTATGGTGATTCTTGGGCTTGGTACTACCGGTTCTTGTGTCAACATGGTACGGAGGAGAAGCGGGCAGATGTGGTGACGAAGTGCGTGCTGAATGAACCTCGACACGGCGAAGTGTGGCAGGCGATTGCGAAGAAGCCCACAAATGCGAGAAAGAGTTGTGAGGAGATACTTAAGTTGGTGGCTGAGGAATTGGAGCAATAGGGTCGTCTGATAATAGAGACTGGCAACTGGTAATCACCAGGGATGTTGATAAATGGATTGGAGTTCTGGATTCGGTTATATGGAACTAATGAGCTTAGACAACATTCGTAGCGGTGGATAGTCTTTAAACACCGCATGTCACCAAAATATGTACGTGTTCTTCTCGTTGACTGTGATTCATTGCTCTTATACTATCGAATTACATTGCATGCAGAGACCCAGAGCTATCTCACGGCCAGTCTCATTTCATGCTGCTGGGCCATGACCATTCGCCCGCTCAATCCCAAAAAGTGAAACCCCAGGCTCCGACTTTGATTAAATAAGTAATACAGTTGCTTCATCTTGGTTCTTGATTGTCGAGGAGGATACGCTTATTTGCTGCCACCGAACCAGCTCGAGATACCGCCCTTGGCCTTTGCGGCTTCCGCCTCGACACGGTGGTCGAACTTGTCGACTACTCTCATGGCCTCGGCCTTTGCGTCCTTGGCAACAGACTCGACATTGCTCTTGATGACACCAGCCGTACGGTCGGCTTCGGCAGCCTGCGATTGGGTTAGGAAATGATTGCAACGTACTAGAGCACAATTGTAGTGTCTCGTCGGGAAATAAACGTACAACACTGTCGATCTTGGCACCGGCAGCAGCACCAGCTCCCTTCAGCTCACCCTCAGCGTTAGGGGAACGGCCGGGAAGGTGGCTCTTGATGTTGGCAGCAGCGCTATGGGCGTCACCTATTGAGTGCGATGTTAGTAGAATTATTGGCATTGGGGTTGAGAGCGCATACTCTCGGCCTTCTTCTCAGCAGCTCGTGGGTTGCCACCAGCGGCGTAGAGGTAGTATCCGATACCAGAGACGGCAGCGCCGCCGATGATGAGAGGAGTGCGAGACTTGGACATTTTGAATGGATTGTAGTTGATCTGCGCGAAAGTGTGTGCTGTTGTGATGTGGTTTGTAGGGAGGGTTGAGTATGGAGTGACAAGATGCAAAGACGGATGAGGAGATGATGGTCGGGTATTTATCATAAGGGAAAGGAAAGCAAGCTCTTTTCTACCTACCTTAGGTAACGTGGTTACCTCGGAACTACCTCATACCTCATAGGTACCTTAGGTTAGAAGATTCCCTTGCAAGTCAAGATTACTTGGTAGTGCCCCTCTTCTTCGTCAATCAAATTTCCATGTGCTCATATGCGAACCTGGAAAGGAAAAGGATGGTTGCAAGTACATGACGTAACGAGGGCGGGGAGAACCAATTGCTCGGATCATGAGGTGATGAGTGATGGCTGAACTGATGAATGCGGATACGTACTATAACTTGGTGAACTGACACTGCTCGATACTGCCGATGAGCATCAATTTAATTGGTGGGTAGACTGCTAAATTACGGTTGTTTGACGGACAAGGCATTATTTATGGTTCTGTCGTAGATGTCATGACACTAGTAATTCTATGCAAGTAGATTTATTGGAAGGTGTAATTATATATATATATATATCTGTGACACAAGATTCTCAAATGTATGTATAATCCAATCGATTGTACTCCGTACTGGCAACAGGTGCCCTTCAGTTTGCATCCAATTCTTGATGTCGTAATATGATTCACTTCACAGCGAAAGAATCGAATCTAGACTCTTTTGTTTGATCAAACATTCCACGCTAAAGTGATGAGCCGCCGACGGAGCTGCACCTCAATGGATTTCCTCCAGGGAACGGCCCCACCGAAAGATGCAAGTACCCGACCCGCCGTAAATCGGCATTACATCATCGAATCTCAGTAGCTTATTCTTCTTGGACCTGGCTACGGATACTAAGGTTAAGCTGTGACGACGATCGATCACCAACGACACAGCTTACTTTGTGTGTGTATTTTTCTTCTTCTTTCCCAATTGAGTGTAAACTTGCCTTTGTTTTGATTATTGACTCTATGTCTATACTTTTTTCTTTTTTCTTTGGCCCCTAAACTAGAATAATCGTATCATTAGCTCATGAAACTTTCCATTGGATATTCGCTACAATAATAGAACATCATTATCAACACGGAAGCTGCCTCAGCTGAACGCCCCGCCACAGCCTCCCAAAGCAGGTTGGAGCCCCTAACAGTCAGTAGTAGCGCCTCCTCTAAGCTCACAACGCCATAATGTCTCTCCTAGCCTGCTTTTTTGACACTTCACTTTTTCCATCTCTTACTCTAATCACAGCGTTATCTTATTCCAAGTGACACTCTGGCCATCTAGTGTCAGCCGTCTCCATTGTTTGTCTGGAGACGAGACGAGACGCCGCTGAAAAGCCTCCCACGTGCCATCATTCGCTTGAAACACCAAAACGTAATTCATCTCCGCCATCATTGACGACCTAAACAAGCTCTCTCCCATTCGTGTCTGGGCCATTAGCCCCGGGCGGCACAGCTTCAATGCTGAGGGTCAAGAGCTCGCGTCGTCCCGCGGGACTCAAGCCTACAGATTACGATCATGAAATTGCCCTAGTCGATCACGATGCCGCCGCGACACCGACAGGGTCAGTTACGCCCGAACCTCATACTATGACAAGATACTCAACAACATCAAGATTGTTGGACCTGGAGGAGGAACACGAGGAGGAACAACAAGATCTGAATCCTGACGAGCAAAATGGCGGCCAAAGGAAACCGTCAAGCAATACGCCCAACAATGCTCACACCAATGAGCATGCTGATTCTCATACTGAGGGAGAAGGCCAGACCCATTCACCGTCGAACCGCATCGAGAACGGCCAACCTTCAACGCCTCCACAAACAAGACCATCCATCGAAGTCCAAGGTCAGTATGGCCCGCCATAGCGAACCTCAAATTAGTCTGACATATCAGCAGAACCAACCCCCGACGCCTTTCATGGAGATCATCCACATGTGAAGCTGAAGAAGCCTCATGTCGAGCGCGAGACAGCGATAGACATCCTTTACGAGAACGAAAGGGGTGGGTTTCTCTGCGGAATTCCTCTGTTTTCTTCGCAGGCTCTTGGAGGTCTTGATCCACCTGCTTGGAGTAAGTCGTCAAACCCAGGAACAAGAGTCGCCTTTATCGAGTAGTAATTGACAATTTCGCTTCAGCCAATGGGTACCATAAAGCTTCACCAAGCAACATCCACAATGCACAAGTTCCTGACCCTACATGGGAATGGGCGTGGCCTGAATGGCGAATCAACCATCAAAAAGGTGTCGACGAACATGGCTGGGAATATTCCTTCCACTTTTCAAAAAAGTTTTCCTGGCATAGCGGCAAGTGGTGGAACTCGTTCGTCCGAAGACGTGCCTGGATTCGAAAGAGGGTGCGAAAGAGATCAGAGGAAGTGTCTGCCGATCCACACATGCTCAATACGGATTACTTCACGATACGGCCCGCTTCTCACAAATCACCAAAGTCTCGCGAGAGTGTCACTAGCAGCCGTCTCAGTCGCTCGAGTATGAGCCAGATGTCAACCGCGGACGTGGACGAGAAACCTGCCGATATTGATAACGTGGACGATCTCATGCGCGCTCTCCGACAAGCCAGGATAGACCGAGAGAAGCTTGACGCTGTCAACAACTACATGGAACATGCAACGGACCTCCAAAACCTTCAGCACGAGATGCATGAGATAATGTCTTTGTTTGTTTTCCAACAATCACGCCGCATACTACTCAGCAGATTGATGGAAATTCATGACGAGACGACGACCCAGATGAAGAAGACGAACACTTGTGAATTGCGAGAGCGAAACCAGGCATTGAAGGATGCCGTCCATCATGCTGACGAAGAGGTTCGCAAGCTAGCCTACTGGAGCGATGTCAAGCAAATGGCCGAGAGCGGCGAGGCGAAAGAGGCAGTCAAAGGAGATAAAGGTTGGGATGAAAGTTGGGAAGGTGTCGACCAGAGCGGCGGCGCTCATCCAATGCAGGAAAATGCCATGGTTAACGGTAAAAAGAAGGAATCGGAGACATGAGCGAAAACTGTTGTCAAGTTCCAATCTTTTGATGAGTAAAGAAACATGGGCGTCTGATGGGAAGCAGACAAGGCGTTATTGCATTGGTGCAGCTGGCGATTTGATGCTGGTGACTAGAAGCTACCTGTGTACTATTGTAATACCTTTATAAGTTTACTACATACATGATTCGTTTTGGTTTATCGCATTGTTAAAATGGCCCTATGATGAACCAAGTCGAGAAATGATATTCGGGTGCCCACGTGATGCAATGACCGACAGAGCGGGCTCGTTATCGCGATAACAGATACGCCTGAGCCAATCTTTTTTCCGCTATATTTTGAGACTACTATCCCATACCTAGGTATCTAGGTTAGTAGCCCAAGGACCCTGCTCTCAACGAGTGGCCTTTCGAATTAAGACGCTGCTGACGATGCGTGAATTATAACAAATGTCCCTGGCGATCAAGTCAATATGGCGGGCTCGGTCGCGATGCTCTGCCTTCTCAGGATCTTTTCCAAAATCAAGAGCACCATTGCCCTCCAGGATATCCAACCCCTACATTATCCGGCTCGAGTCAACGACAGCATATTCTGACGGGACAAACTTAACTGAATCTTCGGAGACAGCCCTTGTAGCCCTTCCCGAAAAGTCTCTCGAAGTGAGCGAACAAGAGCCCGAGCAGGTCATTGCCAACCTAGTTACAGACGATACTCACGAGTCCCGCAATCGAGTCTTTAAAGATGCATTCAAGATCGATGCGCTTCGACTGGTTGAAGACAAAGATGCCATGAAGCTCTTTAAACCTGTGATCGGAAAACCACTCCAATATCCAAACGAACAGGCGAACAAAGCAAGCGAACAGGAGCATAGGCGAGACGCACGGCGACAGGCCGGCTTAGGTGTGGTCTGGAGCCACTTCGATAAGACAGTTCCGCAATGGATAGAATGCTTTGGGCTGATGAAGCGCATGACACCACAATGGAGCGAGAGGGCCAACATGTCGGCTGTGAGGATCGTCCTACCCAAAACGTGGGATATCGAAGTCAACAACCAGAATCTCGAGTATGTCGACTCTGCGACGGGCGTGCTCCAGAAACTGCGGGCAGTGGTGGACCGTAATCCCTCTGCCATTGTGCTTCGTGGGAAAAGCAAGATATTAGTCAAGGTGGCCGACGAGATTGTGAGGTATTGCCAAGACGCTGAAATCTACGAGCTGGGAGAAGTGGCAGCGTCGGATTACAAGACGAGGCAGCTGTGGCCAACCATTGAAAATGCGCCAAACGGAGGTGCCTCACTCCCTGATGACCATAACGACAATATCTGGGTGCACAAAGAGTACCAGCCTCACTCTCTCCATGTGCCATACGAGCAGATCCCGCGACCGTCCGTGTGGACACATGACAACTTTGAGCACTATATCTCAACGCTGTGCTATGGCAAGGTGCCTCCCCATCTAGCAATCAGGTTCTACGGCCAAAGGCGAGTGAATGGGAGATATATCGATACGGATGGCATCAGGATCAAGCTCATTGTTGATGCCTTTGATAACCCTGCTGCAAAACCATTCATTACTATCCCTGTCTTGAAAATGGCTATTTCCATGATGGCTTTCCGAGGTGGACATCGTGCCTCTGCCAACTATCTCATACAATTGGGAGAGGAATTGGGCATTCCCATGGACACCGATATATACAACATCATGCTTGAAGGCTACGCTCACAAGCGTGATATCGGTTTCTTTTATAGTTTTCTCCGAAGGATGGAGGCGCGCTATCATCACCCCAACATTCGAACATGGCTGCTTTTCCTTCGACTGGTCAGGGGTGAGGATGAAAGGAGGCAGGTCATTGTGGCCATGTACCAACTGGGCATGTTCAATCATCAGGCCACACGTCGCGGGATCGCCGATGTCATGGCCTCTCTTGATGCATATGCTGCTTTCAAAGCTGGAATACCTCTTAAAAACTTCCTGGACGAGCAGAAGGAACGCTATGGTGAGGGCTGGCTAGCGGTCGATGGCCTTGATAGTATTGTCACTGAACTACTTCGCTTCCACCGTCCAGAAGACCCTCGAATCGAAGATTGCAAGAAACTGGTCAGGATTTATACAGAGTCAGGCCACAGAGTTGAGCTTAAGACCATCAATATCTTCCTCAGCTACGCGTCCAAGTCCAGAGATTGGGATACTGCTCTCTGGGCTATGTCACTCTTCAAGGACGCCGGCTGCAAGCCTGACCAGGAGACTTATGGTGCTCTCCTGTCGCTTGCGGTCAAAACGCGCTCACCACATGCCCTCGGAACAGTCTACTTCTACGGCGTCCTCCATCGTCAGCTTAAGAAAGGATCGAGAGACTTGCTGAGCCAAGTCCTACTTCGCAAGCACAAAGACCCCTTTTGGAAAAAGCTTGAGCATCAGCCAGGTATTTTCCCCAGGCAGGCAATCCCTGATATTCTAGCCAACAAGATTCCTCGGGTTTGGGTAGTCATGTCCCGAGTCGAGCGTGCCATCCTTGACAAGTGGGCGGGCTATGTTCCCCTTAAACCCCTCGAGTATGCGCTCGAACTTTCATATCGCTCCAATGACCAGCCCATGCACTCCCAGATCAAAGCCGGTAAACCCATTCAGGTGCAAGATCTCATCGTCAAGCTTCGCAGAGCTGATGGTCAACCTGGGAAAATAAACGTGCGTCTCAAGGGCCGTTTCGATCCGGCGCGTATGATTTTCGGTTGGGATGAGTCTCTAGGAGATACAAACCACCCGAGCATACTCAAAGAAGAGGACGAGCCTGACAGTTGGCCTGATAATGATGATGGCGTTGATGATGATACTCCAAAGCTTTTGTCAGCAGGGCCCGAGACGGACCCAAAATCGCCTGGCGGTGATCAAGATGGTTCTCCCGAAAGACCAGATCCCACTCGCGCCCCTAAAGCTGCTTTGAAGGAGCTCGAGAAGAAGATCGCAGACGCTCGAAGAAGAGACGAGATTTGAATCTTGCTGAACATCTGTAAGAAGCGCCACATACAATCCCCATATAACAACGCCGTATTGCCCGCACCTTGCATCATTCCACCCTGTATACTACAATTCCTAGTAGGATGCCTTCCGATTTTACCTATATTTCCAAGGGCACATTATGATAGAAAATCACGGACATACCATGTACACTAGCAAAAGCATATTTTTCAAGACGATGGGCGAGACGAAAGCCAGAACATTGATAAATAAAAACGAAGTTATGAGAACACCAAATCTTGACTTCTCGCACTAAGAACTACAGTCTCCCTCAGGGGGCAAGAAAACACCGAACCTTAATACAAGGTGTCAAAATAAACTTAGCACAGAGTTCCCTAAGCTTAGGCTAAATTTACCTAATATTTTCATCACTTAGGGTCAAGGTCCTGAGTTTTCTTTCCTCCCCTAGAGTCTGTGTTGCCCTTGAGATCAGTCCAATGTTCACCTTCATTACAAAAGTGTCAAATATGTGGAAGTACAATGAAAACCCCTGGAGAAATATGGATATAGATGATTCCCAACTCACGTCTGGATGAATCGAGCCTACCGTTCAAAAAACAAAATTGGGCCGTCAGTTAGTGTCCTGTATATGCTATACTGCGTCTTAATCCCTCTAAAAGCAATCCAACCATATCGAGCATATCATCCCAGCATTGCGAGGGGGGAGACTGGCATTCGCAATGGAAAAGTGGAATGAGACGGATGATCTCATGGCGACGTGAAGAAAATGGGAATCCCATGCGTGCGTAAACATCAAAAAAAGGTTTCTCTCGCTCTTCTTTCTTTCTTCCTTCCTTCCTTTCCTTGTATCCGCCTCAGCCCAGAACATGATATCCTTCCCGAGTCTCGTTCTTCTCGTAATGCGCCTCGGCAAGTCGACGAAGAACGCACGATCCAGATCCAGGTTTGACACCAATACACCGACAAGTTGAGATGCAAGACTGACTTAACATGAGAATATCACAACCCCCTCTCGTGACCACCATCTACCACTTGCCCTTTAAACTTCCCAGAAAGTCGAGAAACATAACCGGAGGTGCAAGGGAGAAGCGACACCCAGGTTGAATTCAAACCAGTTACCCCGTAATTTCAGACCACAACCTATTCTTCCTTCTTGATTTCCTGGGCACTGGCCTCCTTCTTCACCTCCTCCGCTGCGTCCTTGTCGGTGGGCTTCGTAACGGTTGCATCGGCGGGTTTCGTATCGGCGGAAGCGTTATCGGCGGCGGCGCCAGGGGCGGTTACAGGAACGGTGTCCTTCTCGGCGGAGGACGGGTTTTTGGTGACCTGACTCGCGAGGTCTTTGTCTTCGTCGGCGTTGTCAAACATTTCTGTATCATCTGAATCCGTAAGAACCTCAGTGCCATCGCCGAGGAAAATGATCCGGCCTCGGTACCCACCAACTCCAAAGCTTCGTCCCTTGTTTTCAGGATCCATCTCATAGCCACTGTCGCTATCCTCAAAGTTGTGGTGGACTCCAGGTCCTCGAAATTCGGCTATCAACTTCGCGTCAGTCTATGTCTGGAGGTCCAACCCAATTCACCGAGCGGGTATCATCCTTACCGTACTCAGGGGGAGCACAAGGGCCATCTCCGTTGGCGACCCGGCGGGCGATCTCCTCGTACCACTCTTCCTTGGTCTTTCCGTTGAGGAAGCCGATGATGACCATGGTCATGTTGTCGCAGCCAACTCCACCGGTCTCGGAGTTGGAGGCAAGACAGTTGTCCATCATGTTCTCGCAAATCTTATCGAGCTCCTGCTTGGCAGTGATGCCTCGTCGGACAAACTCGACCACGGCTTGAGAGGATTGGCAATCCCAGATACCTATGCTAGTGAGTACTGTTATTCCCTCATCACTCGAGCCGACGTAGCTTACCATCACAAGCAATGACCAGGAATTCATCCTCGTCTGTAAGATCATGTTGCTCAACATCGGGATAGGCTGTAACAATTTGGTTCTCGGGGGACAACTCAGCACTCTTCTTGAATTCAAAATCACCAATAGCACGCGAGAGGGCGAGGTTTCCGTTCACTCGGCCGAAGTCGACAAAGCCACCGGCAGCTGTGATTCGGTTCTTCTCGTCTAGTGTGGATGTCAGTACTATCGCTCGTGTTGCGTGAGTGATGTGACTGACTCTCGAGTTGGGGCTTGTGGTCCTGGGATAAAGGCTTGGCACGACCCTTGATACCAAGAACAGCTCTCGAATCACCAGCGTTGGCCTGAATTTACGTGTCAGCTTCTTGCCGCATGTCATCCTCCAACGGGATATTGAGGGGAAAGCCAATGAGGGAACAAAGACGAGGGGCGAACTGACAACATAGAGCTTGTTGCCAGCGATCAAGCTGACACAGGCTGTGCAACCGGAAACTTCTTCTTCGTACTTGGGGTCTGATGTTGGCAAAGCATAACACGTTAGCAATTGTTATTACGGAGGCCAGGCGACAATTTGTCCATTATCGGGTATGGCGGAGAATGGAGAAGACAAAAAGCTGGCGCATACCGTTGAGAATAGCGCGATCGGTCGCGAGAAAACCATCCTTCAGACCCTGAGCATAGTCACCAGACTTGAAAGTGTCCTGCTTGAAGATAATGTTGTGAATGTTTTGGCCGGTAAATAGTGCCACCTTGTCACCACCGTGTCCGTCGAAAACGCCGAAGAAGGACAGCTTGCTGGAGTGAGACTTGGCTGAGTCGAGGTCGAGTACTGCGGTGTGGGCATCCTCCATACTAATGCGCCAGCCTTGCATGGCCGAAACACCGTAGATGAGGCGCTCATCCTCACTCTTCTCCGAAGTCTGTGAGATAGAAAAGAAGCGTTAGCGGGACCTGGTCTGACGACGACAACGCAGCCGACGGAAACATCGGGGAAGCGGATATCAGTATGTGAACATGGGGGTGGAAAATAATGATATCGCGAGAGCCAAATCACAAGCCCAAAACCTCTGGCGGTCGATGATATTCCCGACAAGGCTGAGAATATAGGCGCGGCTGGTGAAATTGGTATTGCGTGGGCTCCAGCGCCAGCGCTGGGTGAGGGGCTCAAGATTGCCCCTCTCGCGCCAGGTCCGAGTGCCAAATCCCAATGGCCGAATGCAAAACAAAAAAAAAACCGAACAGAGCCGCGCAGATGATCGAGACGAGCACATAGATATTCAAAGGCACAAGACGCACCTTTTCGACAACGGGCTCTGATAGAGTCTGACCCATGACTATAGATTGTTATGGTCGGTTCGATCGAAAAGGGAAAAAAAAGCCTAGGCGTTGCTGGGACGAGACAGGATGGCGAGCGGAAGAGAGGAGAGAAGAGATGAGGAAGATCGACCGACGAGGGGTTGGCGGGGGAGAGGGGCGGATGACGAGATAAGATCTCGCTCGACAAGAGAATTTTAGATATTTGCTTAAGAACACGAGGGAGTATGAGTATGGGTAGTATGAGGAGGAGAAGAAGATGATGAATGGGGTAGACTACGATGCCGGCGCCGGGAGCAAAGGTTGCGGAAGAGGGAGATTGGGCGTGTGAGAGATGGATCTGGATGTGTGGATTGTTGAGGTTAGGTGAGGTGAGGTGATGTCGGGCGGGGGGCTAGTGCTGTGGCTAGCTATGCGATCCCTAGGCTTCAGTGGTGGTGATCACCAAATTTGGAGCTCCCCAGGTGAGCGGTTGCCTACCTAACAATAGCACCCGACCCTCGGTACCTTTCCCTACCTACCTAGGTAGGGGAGGAAATAAAACTTAGGATCTTAAGCCTAAGTGACAAAAATATTTAGGTAACTTAGTATAAACTTAGGGTAAGTTCAGGATACCTTTTATGGAGTTTATCTTGTCACCCTAAACTTAGGTCTCATGTTTTCTTGCTCCCTAAGGCCTACATACCTACCTAGGTGCCTAGGTGGTGGACGTTTTTAGCTGGGGCGCGGGCTTTGAAAATCAAATGAGGCGGGGGTATCGCAGGTAACTAATAAGGTATTGGATGAATCTTACCTATGGATCTATGCATTTTCTCGGGGGAACTGTCAAGTGCAGCATTCATCTACAGATACCTCAGGTATTGCTGAATCTTGTGCTCGACGAGGCATAATCATAGGCACAGTATATCTATCAGCATGTGCCAATCAAGGTGTTTTCAACCGTAATATCTCGCTCCTCCATCCCATCTGAAAGAGCTCAACTACTTTAGTCTTAGCACCATTCTAGTCCAAGGCAGGGGCGAATACACTGAACTGTTTCCTGTCCCTACATCATCAATCTGGGCTGGGCTGCTCTTCTGCTAGTTAACCCCTGTTCCCATGGATACCTAGGAATGGGACCGCCACTAACAGCCACGCTTTGTATGAAATAACTCGAGGTGATACAATGACCTCACGTCACTGACTACTCCGTAGATACCTTAGGTATGATGTAGGTACGCATCCATACAAACCATCACCCCATTCATACACTAAAATAAGTTGAGCCTTTTTAAAACCGTCCTCTGCATGCATGAAAATTAGTTGAGAGGGTAAAAAACTTTGCATGAGTGCGTCGTGCCGTGTAAGAGTTCCGTCAGCCGCTGGCGCCTAAACAGTCCCCTCTCGTTCGCTCTTTTTTTTTTTTCTTCACTGTCACGCGTGAAAAATTTCCATGTTTGTCCTCGCCACTTCTAGCCGCGTGTATTATTCATTTGTGCTACTCTGCATGCTTTGAATGGCTGTTGAGAATTACCTGTTCAGAACCTGATTTGATCCGATGCTACATATACATAAGCCTCAGATCAGGTCGCGTGCCCTTCCCTTGATGACGGTCCGGTCCGGCTCCAAAAAATTACAAAGCCCAGTTTCTTATCCCCATCCGTGCGTGTTTGAGGTTTGATTGATAGTAGATAGGGCTGTGGCTGCGGTTGTGGCTGATCACTTCTTTGGTAGAGGATGATGCTATCCCCGAGGGCCAGAGAAATGGGAACCAGGGAGCCTATCTTCAAGTTAAATGAAGGGTTCATGTTATATTATTCAAGTAATTCGCAATCTACAAGAAGGGATAGGTCTGCACATCAAGCTGTCAACCCTGATGATACGCAATACCTCAGACTACCTCCACTACTTGTCTATTTAGTTTACCCTATAACACTGGCCACTGAAGACTATTTTCGCCAATTAGCCTTACAGTACAAAACCTGTTGTTGAAGTCTTTCCTGCTAGTAATTAAGATATTGAGAATTTTTAATTTATCTAGTGAAATTATGATTGTCGTTTGAGGACTTGTGCTACTCATCTAGACCAAAAATGTTTTCGGAGACCCCATCTATAGAGAGAACAATATCTAAATTATCCTTTCCCGAGCAACACGCCAAGGGAGGGAAAAGGAAAAGGAAAGAAGAGAAGGAAACTATCAATATAGCAAACAAATACAAAGCGCCAGGGTATCTCATGCTCCAACATATACATCATCAATACAGGACTTCAACACTGTCCTTCAACTCACTATCCTTCAACTCAGAGAAAGGCATAACTGCCACCTTCTGACTTACCCGAATCTTCTCTTCTCCAGTTCACCGATGAGTTTCCTGCTGGCTTCGAGTGTCTGCTGCCAGGAACACTGAGCGGATCTACACTTAAGCGAGACAACTTGCTCATCGAATGCCCCAAACCTTGCCGTAAAGACGCCAATGATCCCCTGATGCTATTCTGAGCATCTCCCCATTGGCTTGGGGATATCAGATCCGAGTCTGCCCGCTCTCCAGGCTGTGCTCCATCACGGCTCGAACTCATCGCCGTGCTTGGTCGAAGTGGATGGAAAGGCGACTCGTCCACGAGCTGGTGATATGACGCGCCTGTTACATCGCGCTGGGATTCGTACACACGCCAGTTCTCCCCGGAACCAAACGACGGGTCACTGAAAAGCCCTCTGGGTGCCTCTAAATCATACCATGGCCTGCTACTAGGGTCAACATCCTCTCCCAGTAGTTCCTGGGTGGACAGACGTACTAGCTCCGGCCGTCTCAATGTTGGCAGGCTCTGAGTTGCCCCTATTGAAGGGTCCTCACCATCAGCGACTGAGGTATGAGAACCGAGCCCAGTATCTGGCGCTTGTGTTGGAACCCTGGTCAGGAGCCTTGGACTGGAAAGATGTGAGGAAGCGAAGGCCAGTGAGCTTTCATTGCCACTTGTGTAGTAGTCAGAGCCCTGCTGGAATAATGCTCTTTGAGATTGGATGCTGGGGAGACCGTTGAGCGAGGAGTCAGCTGCATCATTACCCCCCATGAAAGACCTCCGTCTTGCATCTGATAAAAATACCGGAGGTGGTATCAGCTGACTAGTTGACTGTGATAATATCGAGTTCGACCGTTGGCTCCTCAGAGAGTCACGACTTGGCCGCCCTGCAGTTGCAGTTCCAACTGTGACCCATGATCTTCTTTCGTCCTCGCTGTTGGATGTACCGAAGGACCGAGATACACTGGTGTTAGAATCCTCAGCGACGAATCTCGGAGGAACAAGAGGTGTTGCCATGAACCCTAATGTTGGAGATGCCATAACTAGCGTTTCCGAATCCATCTCAGAATGAGGTGTCCTTATCGGGCGGCGTTGTTGTTTGCCTGTAGCTGCGATGATCTCGACTTTGTCGGCCTCTCGCATTGCCGCCGAGCCCCCGTTGACACGAAGGCTCTCGAGGACAGGCCCGGAGATCTTATGGCGAAACTTGGACGAGAGATATGTTTGTCGTTTGCGACGGCGCCGAAGGAGACAACAAACAAGCAGCATAGAAAGAAATATGACGACCAGAAGAGGCAGAAGAATCGCGAGGAGGAGGGTACCGGTTGTCAGACTCCCATCTGAATCAGACGACTGTAAATCAGGCTCTGCAGAGGTTTCGGTGGGTGCGACAGAAGAAGACGTGCCCGTAGATGTTGATGAAGTGCGAGACTGAGTTGTCGACGAAGATGTAGACTCGAATGGTATCACGCTCAAATTTAGAACCTCGGTCTCTGTGTCATCTAGAGTCTTGGACGAAGCTGTCACAGAAATATTTAGATCTCCTGAAGCCGATACTGGGATCTTCCCGGTGATGTTAAAGTCATCGAGCCTTAGCCAATCCTTCTTCGGTCTGGCTGAAATCTGAAGGTCAATGTCATCAGGGTCCCAGAAATAAGGCCGCAAATCAATATCGACATCTTTTCCAGCCTCGACCTTGATACTGTCAAAAGTTGAGCTAAATAGAGCAGTGGAGACATTGACAGTGGCGTATATGTTGAGTGTATCTTGGTATGTGTCGCGGAGTGTGATGGTGAAGTTGGTTGAATGATCGCCTTTTCCTGGTGTTCCCTCGATATCCCATGTTTTCTTGTTCAAGGACAGCCAGTCCGGCATCCCGTCTGTCGAAATCTCAAGTTCATCGATCTTCACAGGCTTGTTGTCAAGCTTGATGCCATCTGCTAGCCCGCTGTATGCAAGCTTCTTCCCTCTGGTAGTGTTCAGAGTGATGTTGGGGTTGTCAACACTGAGTTTGTGTCTACCCACAATTACAGAGAAGGCAACTGACACGGCAGAGAAGCCAACAATGTCTGAAGCGACAAGCTGGAAGTCAAAAGTTTGGGGAGGCTGGATAAGTGACTCGAAAGGAGGTGTCTTGCCACTAAATGTCAATGAGCCAGCATCGAACCTCATCCAAGCAGGTAAGGGACTGCCATCGCCTGAAGTCGCATAATAGTTGATCATATTGGGCTGGTATTCAAATGTGTCGGCACCAAAAGTAAAGCTGAGCTCCGTAGAAGGATACGAGATTAGTGATGATGGCGGCGAATAGTCGCCAAAATCCTTAATCTGCTCCAGAAGTGGTGTTTTGAGGGAGGGGCCCTTGTTCCTGGACACAACCAGAGTTGAACTTAGCAATGTCGAGCCAGAATCATCCTTGGCAATGATCTCTACTGTCTGCCCTACCACATCGCCACTGGGAACGGTGTCGTTGGTCGGGATGCCATATAGCCGGCGATCTTTGCTGTCGATAGAAATCCATTTTGGCGCATCCCCAAGTGAGTATGATATTTTGGAGTCTGATCGAAATGTGTAACGAGAGAAGACGTAAGAGAAGGGTTCGTCTACCCGGGCTACTGGTGGTAACTGAGAGTTAATGGGGTAGTTGATTGTTGGCTGAGATTTTGTGAGTCCTGAGATGGTGAGAAGGAGAACAGCGAGTATGAAGGAAGTCATCATGGCATGACAATACACTCTTCAGTGTCGAAGTTCGAATAGGATTACATGAAACGCCATTCAGGTGAATAGGAACTTGCTGAACAGAGCCGAAAGGATGAAGGAAAGAGAAGTGAGAAACAGGAAGGCCGGGAGACAGACGACCGTACGAAGGCATATCGTGAATGACATATTGATGGCTGGCAAGCTGAAGACTTGAGCTAGAGGAATACTGAGCCCTTCATTCCTGTATAGCTTCTCCACTGAGCCTCTTTGAACCACGGGAGAAAAATTGGTGGTGATAGTCAATTAAGGGAACGGTGTTGAATCCATTCGCCCATTTCAAGAGGAGGCAAGATGTCTCAGGTTAACTGAACTGAACTTCCCGTGGGATGGAGAGACATTACGTGTGGCGGGTAGAACCAAAGAAACGATACTGTAGGCTGATACAGCTGTCGTCAACATTCCTATGGAAGGCCTGGTAGCCCGGAGAGACTGGTGAGACATCGTAGCCACTCGGCATGATGATGATGAAAAAATCGACATGGCAATCATGAAGGTTGACGGGATACCGGCTCCATCAAGCTAGGGGAGGAAGGCTGGAGAGGGAGAGTCAATAATTAGCAATGGTGTTGTTGAAAGAGCATATATTGGCTATGATATCATATAACGCCTCCCTTGATCGTTAAACTCAGCATGGCCATTGAGGATTGATATCATCATCTGGGCCATTCATTCCCTGGGAGCTTGTCAACCTGATGTAACATGAGTCGACCCTTGACTCTTTCAGCTTTCTTAGTAACGAGCAACACTCGCCCGAGTGAGGCAGCAGTGGATCACACCCGATTTCTTATGTTGAAGGGCAACTCGGCGAATTTATTTTGTGGAGGAGCCCTTATCCAAACGGAGTATGAGTTTTGGTATACGTAGTTAGTTTAATCGTTATCGCCAGTCCCGCAGAGCCTTTAACGAGCCAATCGCTCAACTGTTTCGATGACTCTTTAAGCGGAGGATGCCAACAAAAATAAAAAGGGTCTATTTGAGTCTGGATCGCACACGTATGCAAGTGCAAAAAGCAGTAGAAGAGGCAAAAGAGGAGCGGTCGAGTACCTAGGAAGAGATGTCACAGGTTCCAGTTATTAGAAGGGGAAAAAGTCTGCAGGTGACACACAGGGCAGTTGTGCTTTTCATTGATAATCGATAGAAGGCTATCATATTCTAGGTTAGCAGGCGCAAGAGGGAGTAACCTACCTGAAGGGGCGGAACGACAACCTAAAGCCATAGAAAGTTATTCCTCTTGCTTCATTTGAATAGAACAAACCCATCTTCCTTGCTTTAGTAATATCTGCAGGGCAGTACCTCTCAAGCTCCACTGCATCGGTATCCCTTCGACTTTCAACACTATCCCTTGAGGGCGACTAGTCGTGATAGATCCGACTACTCCGTGCAGTCTATTTTTTCCCGACCCTCTGCAAAAGCCAAGGGACTGAAATCGAAGGCGAAGGCCCGAGCAGCGACAACTCTTTCGCAATGAGCAGTCCACCGTCGTCCCCTCTGATGGACGCGGTCACCATCAGCGAGGACATTGCTCCATTGCCGTCCTTCAAGGCCAGTGGTGTTGCGACTGTCGATTTCGATGGCGTTCTCTCCAGTCCTCTCAAGGTGCACGAAGATGTGCGATCTGGTTGTGGTGGGCAAACGTGGCCCGCGGGAATGCTTCTCGGCAAGCATATGTTGCGTTACCACAAAGACCGTCTTGCTGACGCTCGGATGTGAGTTTCGCGCTCTTTCTTCAACTTCGACACTGCTATCGCATGCATGTGACTTGGACCGGGTCCTTTGTCTTGGTCTGCATAGACAGTGTGAGTATAACCGAAGACGGAGTAGACTTGCTGACTCGTTGGTCATAGATTGGAACTTGGAGCTGGCGGCGGTCTCATCGGTCTTGCCGTCGCCTTAGAATGTCAGCTTCAGAATCAGTTGTTAGTGACGGACCAGCTGGAGATGTATGAGCTCATGAAGCACAACATCGAGCTGAACAACCTACAAGACAAAGCCAAGGCGATGGTGCTCAACTGGTACGTGAATTTGAATTTATTTGTCATGTGTAACATCCTCCTCTGCCGTACCATACCCCTCGTCAGATGCGGGCGAGCCACTAAGCTGACTGGTCTGTTCATATACTGTAGGGGTGAAGACTTGCCAGCTGCCGTGCTGGAGCAAAAGCCAGACGTGATATTGGCTGGTGAATGTGTCTATTTCGAACCTGCTTTCCCTCTGCTGATGTCTACGCTTAAGGCTCTATTAGAGCTCAACCCCGCAGCTGTCGTGTACTTTTGTTTCAAGAAGAGGAGACGCGCGGACATGACCTTTGTCAAAATGGCTAAGAAAGCGTTCAAGGTCGAAGAAATATTCGACGAGGATAGGCCCGTTTTCCAGCGACAAGGTCTTTTCCTCTTTTCTTTCACCAGCCGCCCAACCACAGGCCAAACCAAATCTACCAAAAAAGAAAGTCAGCCTCAACTGTCAAGATGATAAAAAAGGTCAGGAAAGCTTTGTCTACACAGCATCTTCGTTGGCATGCGCCTGAAAACTGTCCATGCATTGTTGAGTCCTGACGCGGAGACCCGACTGGATCCTTTCATGAGGAAACACAGTGACGCTGACAGGACTGCATAGTAAGTCTGACCAACATGACTTCAATGTAACATCGCCAAGGGTTCTTGAGTCGACTCAATGATATTCCGCCCCCAGTATTGCTCCGAGTATGTGTCGTTATGATGGAGGTATATGGCCCCTCAAACTGTTGACTTTCCCACCGATTCGAGGGTTCGGAATTCGTGGAAGAGAGAATAGAAATGCAGAGCACCAACACCTGCGTTACTGACTATCCTCCGAGCGACATGTGCCTGAGACTTGTCTGTCGTCTTTGTTACAATAATAGACACTGTACAAGCTGGACCAATGAAGTCTGCGCTTATAGCAAAGAAAACCAAGTCATTGTGGCCTGCATCTTTCTCAAGAAATTCCCAAGCACACCGTAAGATTTTCATCACATCGCATCACAGTGAAAGCGCATATATGTTCACACAGACAACGAAACAAATGGAGTAATGACTGGGAGCACAACTCAATAAATGAGAACGTCACGCATGCATTGGCGCCAACATTATGCCGAATGACCCAGCAAGAGAAGGCGGCAAAGAAGACTTTTTTATTTCCCTCACACCACCGGGTTTTCTGGTACTTTCTCACTCTTCTAGGCTTCTAAACTCCTCCTACTGCTGCAAGCCATGTCAGCAAAGGCCAGCCGTTGGGTTGTTGATGAGTGGATGAGGTGGCACCCAGATTAACGTTGTCCTGAACCTGGGAAGAAATGGGTCTTGTTTCAACTTGGCGTATGGCGTCCTCCACACCTCCCGGATGCACGTTGACTCGTTGAGTGCTTTCAAGCCTCTCAAGCCTCTGCGTTTCGGGCTAGGTATAGGGCGCCAGCGAGCAGGACAACTCAGAGATCGATTTACAGTGTCTCCCCTCCACCAACTTTGGTGCTCCATCAGTGCCAGATGTTCCTTGTTTTCTCGCTCCGCTGACCTCCCGCCATCGTCAGGCACATATAGACTGTCATTGGCTGCCTCTTAGCCCTGACAAGATCTAACTCGGAAGCTGACGACAGGGCGGCCCCTTGCAGATTGACCAATCACAACATCCTGGGAGAGAAAACATGCCTCGAGCCGGACCACTGGACTGCGTGCGTTCTCTGTGAAGGTGGTGCGGGATCTGAAAAATCAAGTTGCTCGGCGATGACTCTGATGATTCCGTTCAAGACCTCTCCAACTTCGCTATACTGAGATGACGCGGCCCGCAATACGTGACTCGCTATTCCCCGCAAAGCCGTTTACAGATGAAGCAGCTAGCTGGTTGAGGACGGGTTTTGAGGTTCAGTTATGACCGAGGAGGCTGGCGATCAACTTTGCAGCACAATACGATGAATGCCCCTTGATGGTGCCACGGCACCCCTGAAGGGCGACAGGGTTGATTTTGCTTCTCCTTGTCCTCTCCGCAGGCCTCCTTCTCAGGCTGTGTAGCGCTCGCCGCTCTGGCTTTTTTTTACGTAGCTGTTAGGGCAGACCGCTTGCATGGTTCAGGGACGTGTTTTATGGCTGGCTCCAGCAGATCCCAATGGCCCGGTGAAAACCTCCTGAGGAGCGAAAGAGATGGCAGCTTGCCACGTCCGTGCTGTGGCCCGTTTCGTCTCCACCATCCACCTCGGAACAAGGCCAGGCACACAGGCACGAGAAAGACTGACTGGCTTGGAATTGGGTGTGTGGGCTATGCTTGTGGGTGGATTTCTTTGGGAAAAAACCACGCGTGGTCAGGCCCCCCAAAGCGGAACTCCCTCTCAGCTCCCACTACCGGGGATGAATCCGGTACGCCGCCGCCTGCGGTTCTTTTGCCTACAGTTGCGGTACCCTTGACTCACAAGTTCCAGCGGATTGCTTGCGGACACACTGCGTTCAGCGCTGGTTATGGATGGCACACCTCCAGTCCTCGGTACCTGGCTAGGAGGTAAGGTACTAACGTTAGTCTAAAGCCAAGTCTTTTAAGAGCTAGCATAATGAGCCGGCGCCGTCTTTTACGGCGAGGCGTAGTATTAAAGGAAGAGTCGGCTCCTCCCCTTGTTTCGTTTCTTCACCTACGATCTCTTCGAGTTCAAACACCACTCATTCCCACCTGAGCACTGAGCAGGACTCTCTTCTCTCTCACGCACACATTCCCTCACACGACGGTCAACGTCCATTCATTCAATTCTTTTTTGAAATAGATTCATTCCTGTGGAACAGAATCTAAACCATCCTTCCTTTGCCTAGCAATCCATCGCGTTGAGATACCCTTTCGTCTACACACCAGACGTATCACAGCTACAGCCACTCTTTGGTTGAATAACAGAACTCGAAAACAACAACACAATATCCATATATCAACATGAAGTCTTTCACTCTTGCTTCCGCCTTCTTCGCCGCTGCGGCTGTTGCCCAGCCCCATGCCAACCCTCACGGAATCCACCACCGCCGTCACCACCAGAACGAGAAGCGCTCTGTTGTCACCGAGGTTGAGTGGGTGACTGAGATCGAGTACGTTACCAAGATGGTCGATGCTACTACCACCGTCTGGGTCCGACCTGAGGCCGAGCCTACTACTGCTCCTCAGCCCGAGACAACTCAGGCCGCCCCCAAGAAGGTTGCTCCCAAGAAGGAGAAGAAGCCTGCTCCTCCTGCCCCTACTACTACTCTGGTCACCAGCGTCTACACTCCTCCTGCTCCTAAGCCCACCACCACTGAGGCTGCTCCTGCTGCTGAGCCTACCTCTCAGTACGTCGCTCCCGTCGAGCCCACTACCCAGGCTCCCGCCCCCAAGCCCACCACTCAGGCCCCCAAGCAGGAGGCCGAGCCCGAGACTGAGGTCGCTCCCGTTCAGCAGGAGAAGGCCGCCAAGCCTTCCTCTGGCGGTAGCTCCTCTGGCAGCAGCTCCTCTGGCGGTTCTGACACCAAGCATGGTGAGTTCACCTACTACGATATTGGTCAAGGTGCTTGCGGTGAGAACGACACTGGCAAGGATGACTCCATCAACATTGTCGCGCTCTCTCACCTCCTGATGGGCGAGCTCTCCAACAACAACCCCATGTGCGGCAAGACCATCACCATCAAGGCCAACGGCAAGACCTGCCAGGCTAGGGTCGCCGATAAGTGTATGGGTTGCGCCATCAACGACATTGATGTCAGCCGAAAGGTCTACGAGGAGATCTGGGGCAGCCTCGACTCTGGCCGCACCGAGGTCGAGTGGTGGTTCAACTAAGCGCCACGCCCAAACACGTTTTCTTGAATCATGAAAACAATACGAAGGATACCCTTTTCTTACGACTGTTACTTTTCATGAAGCGGGAATCTCTTCACCCCCGAGGGCGCTGGGGCGTAAGACATAAAAAAGGCACTTGGGTACCACTTGGACCTAGACCTGGAGATTCTGGATTGGGGTGTTTTTGGTTTCTTGGGCGAATCAGCTCCGGTTGACAGTCGTTGACTTCTATGTACATAAACTTTGGATACGCCGTTCGGATAGACAAACAATACAGCACCCTCAATCAGGGACTGCACTTTTGATTACATTACATTACATTACGTTATGTTGTGTGATATGATTTCCCCTCAATTGTTGTGACATGTCGCCTAGCACTGTTGATTTTGAATCTAATCTCAGGGCAGATGAAGCGAGCGGGTTTTTAATTTGTGATCCTGGTATTTTGGTCGCTACAATGACCTCTAACTCAACCAACCCATGTCCTTAGCATGGTCTATTAGCGATCAACTCTAATGAATTCTCGTTTAAGCTGAAACTTGGACATTTAATGATCAACCAACAGAAATGGGGAGCTTGACTCTGGTAATGAATATCGCTCGGGTTCATAATGACGAATTGCTGCACTAAAACAAATTCCTTGTGGGTGGTCGATGTCATAGCACGGTTAGTCAATAAACAGTTGGTATCCAGGGGTGAATGAGAGGGTACTCCATACTCTGTCTTGGAGCTGGAGTAGTCTAACGAAGCCACTCCCTTCAGCTAGGACTTTATTGATGACCCCTCGGCTGGAAAACAGGCAGCGTTGCACGAAGGGATTCTGATCCCTCTTGAAGGAGAAAGAAAGAAAGGGCAAGAATAGACACGGTTGGCTACTAGTTAATGATTCTACGCCGTACAGAGGCGTTTTTGAATACGAGCTATCGATACGGGTACAAATATAGGCATTGTCAGACTCTCAAGACCCCCGGCCCAGCCGCGCGTATTGCGTATGCGTAACATGCATATATGTTTGGATACAGGACGTCTATCGTACTGCATTTATCATTTGCGTGCTCTCATGCTTATCCAAGAAGGCGGCTTGATACATAGAGCACTGCCTCCAATAGCAACTCCAAGTCGTAAGTCATGAATTTAGTGGAATGCAGTGTATTCTGAAACCTTTCATAGCAGGTTCAATAGTTCCTCCACGTAGCGGCGTGTATCGACGCCGATGCCCTGGGCAAGCTTACCTGCGCCCTCCGCGGAATCTGTTCGGAACCCGACGTGATCGCTTGCGCGGCGGATGAGGAAGATTTCCTTGGCAATATCCGGATGTCGGGGATCAGGTCCAGAATATTTCCTCTCTCCTTCATCTTGAGAGGTGTGCTGGTCTGTGTTTGGGCCAGCTCCGCCTTCGTGAATTGTAGAGAGATTCCCCGCGGCAGCATCTTCTTGACGGTCGAGCAGACGTGTCCAGACGATCCACCATCCACGGCTGGACTTTTGGGTACGCTCAAGAGCAGTTGAACGGGACCTTGTACCAATGTAGAGATTGACCAGGTGAAGGTGAGTGTTGAGAGCATCAGGACGGGACCACGGTTCCGTATCATCGTAGACTTCTGGTATGTTTGGTATTGATGAATGAACCGTCAATGAGACGGGATCCCAGACGAGATCATATATGTTGTTTCCAGAGTGGTTACTGCCAGAACCCGCATCGGTCTCAGGACGCTCCGGACGATAGCTTGTTGAGAGAAGAAGAGGTTTGCGTAAAGGAGCGAGTTGATGGTGAAGGGAGCGATAGAGTGAATCCATAGCAAGGGAGTCGGTTCGTAGATTGAACAGAAAAGTGAACATGAATGGTCGGTTAACGTAGACAACAACGCGCAGTTTCTTTGCCTTGTTGAGATCGTGGGAGTCGTAGCCAGGTATCATATTCCCTACCACCTGCGACTGCGTGAGAGCACTGGCCGGATGCTCAAAGTCACGCACCGTTATGGCCTCTGGTCTATCCAGAGCCTCGCTCTCAAGCTCAATGTTTACAGTTCGCAAGACAGTACGAGAGTTGTTTGCCCCGTCACCAGCATCGTCCGAACTTCCACTTTCGGTTCCGCTATAATCTTCATTGATCTCCCCCTTTAAACCAATCAAGTAATGGCCAGCAGCTTCATACGAAGGCGTGCGTTCCGCGAGGCTGGGCCGTGCCAATTTGGTTGCGTCTTGGGCAGGTTCAGGATCCTGCTGTGGACTCTCGGGCTGTTTGGTAGGAGAATCGCGACTACCAGTGCCGCCAGGAAGAGACCAGTATGTGCCATATCCCAGCTTGAGGTAGCTAACCATCTTTTCCAGTTTGCCATCTTCAGTCACTTGGATTTGGGGCTGCTCTTTGTCGGAACCCTCCCCAACCTGTTTCCCGGCTGGGGATGTCGTGAGTTCGCTCTCTGGTACCTTTGTTTGATCTTGGGCCGCTTGCTGGCGATCCGCTGCCCGTCGCCTTTTTGCGCGCCGAACCGATGTTGGGCTCTCTATGATACCATAAGCGTGGTTACCCCAAGTGTATAGATCCTCCATCCAGTGAGTAACGTCTCTCACTGATTTCCTGGACAGAGCGCCGGTACCCAAAAAGATGGCACCGTCATCGGGACCAGGTTCTCTTCCTGTCCCTAACCATTGCTCAGGGTCGCCATAGGGGTCATTTGGAGGAGGCGATTCGGGGTTGTAGTCGCCGAACTTGGAAACAACTAGATCGACGAGCCCTTCTATTCTCCCAACTAGTCCTTCCAATACGGCTCGCTCGCCGCTGCCGCGTTCTTCCTCGCCGACGCCTACGCCTAGCTCACCAGAGGCCGCAATGGGGATGCCTCCAAAAATATCACGAGCTGGGTTCCCATGCATCATGACGTTCCAGGTCGAAAGATAGAGATCCCAATATCGACTCAATATAGTGATGAACTTGGTTCTCTTGTTACGCACGAAGAGGGCGCTCAACGAGGAGTCATGATGCATGAGGAAGATGCTATGGGCTCGCAGCAGATCGCGCAACAACAGGCTCGCGGGTTTCATCTCGCGACTGGAGTATTCATACCGTTCTTCGGCGGCTTCGCTCTTCTTAGTAGTGAGCCGAGGAGGGAGAGGTAGTTTTGTGAGGTCGATGCTCTAGTATCATTGGTGAGTATGGTGTTGAAGACGAACAACAAAAGTCATGGTATTCTTACTGCTAGAATCCACCAGCCAGGTTCGAGCTCATGGAGTATGACTCTTGACTTCTCAGTGTCGATAGTGTCTACTGTTGAACCGCTCGCAAAACCGCGGCTGAAGCTAGCCATGCCCTGGGCAAGGCCAATCTGTCGCAAACGCTCGTTTCGCTCTTCTGGAGAGATATTCTGGGTCGGTTGGCCACGAGTGCGCCTGCGCTTATTATGCGCGGCTTGTGTTGTAACAGAGGCATAGTAGACGATCTGATCCTCGATGGTTTCGTCGGTATTGCCAAGCGTAGGGTTGAAGATGGCGAGGAACCCGAGCTGCGCAGGCACGACGGTCCCCAGTGCTGGGTTAGTAGTACCTGAAGCTGAACGTGAGGCCATTGTTGCGATGACCCGCGACCTGTCGTCTTGCGAAGGCCTCGGAAATCGTGCTGCTTTGTTTTGATTCTTGCGCTGGAGCTGCTGCTGATGTGACTAGGAAGGTAGTTCGTCACTCGCAGTCAATTCTGACGTAGATCGGCGATCGTAACAGCACAAGCCTCCAATGAAGCTTGTAAAACCGTCACGGCGCCTCAAAATAACGGGCGCACATAAAGATAAACAGCCGAAATAAGAAAACGAGAGGGTAAGGAAGAAGGAAAAAAACAGAAAAAAGAAGAGGAAAGGGGATGGAATGAGGGGAAGAAGGGATCAGGTTAGATGTTGGTTCTCTCGTGTGTAAGGTGCTGCACCATACATCTACTGTATCTCGGGCTGTTTGTTAGAGGCCCAGGCCTCGATCATGCGGGCGGGTATGGATGGATGTTTGTGGTCGGAGGTTATACCCCGACTTCAGCACGATTGGGCACATTAAAAATGACCAATTGAGCTGTTACTTTTACGTCCGTCATGTGGGACTCGAGGAAGGTAGATGGGATCGAGATTCAACGGCTGGACCGAAGAAATGGAAGAGGGAAGGTCTGGACAAGAGAATGCCATTGTATTGGATGCCCATTTCCATTCTTGATTGTTAAAATGTTACATGGGTCAGAGTCTCGACCGCGGGGCAAAAAAAGATCCCGAACTGTACCTAGATCAACATAGCATTTCCTCTCTTCCTTTCATAGAGATTGTGCTCTTTTGGTCTTTCAACAATGCCATCCATGATTGAGATTGTCGCCTCCACCGTCGTCCAGTATTCCCTAGCATACAAATCATTAACCAACTCCAAACGTCGCTATCATACAATCCAACGCATTAGAAATGAGTGGTATCTTCAGTAATCAGTACTTGGCCTATTCATTCCTTACACCTATTGATTCATCTTTATCACCTTGTCCAAAGACAGTCTGTCTCCTCTTTGCCATCGCATACGCCTCACTAACACGTTCGCGTTGGTCTTTCAATACTTGCATCGGTGACCGGGTTTCATCTTGAGCCTTCATGCTCTCAGTTCTGGGAAAGCCCCATCTTCTACGCTCTCTTCTTTGGCTCCGGTCAAAGCTGGAGAACTCAGCCCACATAAAATATAGAATAAACGTGATGAGGGTAAGTGGTATGGTGACGGCCCAGTATAATCGAAACTGCGGTGTGGTTTTGACCCCGATATCTCCCCCGTCACCTTGCACACTGTCCCAATCGAAGAGATTGGTCGAGAAGAGAGCCGAAATGAAACTGCCTGGTAAAAAGAACATTGTCACAAACGCCAGTGTCTTCATGGACGCAGCGTCGCGAAGAGTAGATATGGAGATGATGTAGTTGGAGAGGCTGTAGTTCTCTGATATGAGGTTATTCAACTGGCGAAACGTCAGTAATCCTTGTGAAACATCTCTCTTTAGGGCCGACAGACATACCACATCAATTTGGATTTGCACTCTCTTCAAGGTATACTCCCTGTCCATGGCCTGCATCATCAACCGTTTCTGGAGAACGCCGACATGGTTCTTCATCAGCTCATCTGCTTCAGGGTTCGAGCTTTGGCCAAGGCTCAGTCGTTGCTGGACAAACTCGAGAAGCTTCTGTAGCGTCTTATCCTTCCTCTCTGTACTCGCTAGGCGGACTGCGAATCCACTCATCTGTGCGCTCAGTGTGCCTAGCTCACCAGCCGCGATATGCTTCCGTTCAGTCTTGAAGTCTGAGTACCCTGTCCGCGCTTCTATCTGTTGGATACCAGGCTTCATGTTGTTCTGCGTTACCTCAATCTCCCCATGGAACATGAAAGCAAAGAGGAATGCAGGAAACATGGCGTGGCTTGCTGTGCTGAGGCTCCATTTGCTTTTGCTCCTGAGTAGCTTCTTCAAATAATGCTGCTCTTTATCGCCAGCCAGAATCATGCCATATGTGACACCTGGTCGAAAAGAAGGTGGCCTGAAGCGAGTATGTGACCATATAGACGCAAGTTTAGGCGCATAGCAAAAGGTATAGGCCTGCTGGTTTGCTTCAGACTTAACAATCTCAGGAAAGGCATTGACGCCAGCGACACAACTCGAGAAGTAATTATATGCAAGCTCAAGACCAAACTTGTCTAAAATCTGATTCTTGGTATCTTCGGGAAGCTCAACGCAGTTATCGTCGAGGATAAACTTAGGCCATATCAGGCGCAGAATTAGTGACTCTGGTCCTGTTGTTCCTGTTCGTGTCTCCATGGCCAGCCAGGAGGCGACATCAGGTATTGTAGTGACTCCTTCATGGTAGTCGACAATGCCAGTATCATCCCTGCTCCAAAGCTCACTATACTTGAACGAGAGGACGTCGTGTGTTTGGACGATTCGCCGTGAATTGAACTCGGCGATCTTGTGGTATATCTCATCCATGTGTGCGGAGCGTTAGCGTCCCAGAAGGCTGACTGGCGGCTCGGCGCATGAAACGAGAGGCTTATGAGGCTGATTGGGGGTACTATACAGACGAGCCGGCGTTTTTCATGTCGGAATCGTCTGTATATATGGTCTGGAGGGCCGGGAAATGAAAGCTGAAGGCGTCCAGTCTGCTGATACTGGCGAACCGCTGGCGATCTGCCGCTTCAGCTGCTCATTTCACCTGCATCTCATCGCCCAGAGTCTGAGAGGAAATCTGCCCGTTTCGTGGCAGCCAATGGCCCCAGAGCATTGAGACATGGGGGGCTGATAATCCTTGCTTCTTGAAATGGACTGGGCGTCAACTAACTATGTTAGAAGTTGAATAAATATCGAGGCACAACAATGCTTTGTTTCTCGAGTGTTGTTTAATCCGACCTTGTTCATCCCTCAGATCTTCAGTTACCCTTTTCACGATTGGGACAATCGAGATTCAGCAGGAGTCGAGCCTCTAGAGCTGAAGCTAAAGCTCCGCTTCAATGCGGTATGTCAGCTTGTTAGCTTGCACTGCCACTAGGCAGTATTTCTCTGGTAGACTAGTTGTTGGAGGCTTTGATGCCTCCCTTTGTGAAACAGGACCTATCCGACTCTTTGTCTTGTCAATTCTCTATAAGAGAGTGATATATGAAGGAAGAGATAGCCATCGAGAACAACTTCTACACGACGTCTTGGCTGAGCCCAAGCTCTACAGCTTCGGCCGCTAGACTAAGGTACCTAGCCCAAGCTAAGATGGATGGAGAGGTAGGTATTAACTGCGTTAGGTCCCTTATTACTACTGTACCCCGCAGGTCCCTTCAACGTCCGTCTTGTCCGCTGCAAGCTCAGCCCTTCAGATCCAATGCAAAGCATGGCCTGCATCACATGCATCGACAAAAGGAGTCCAGCTTTTGGATTGGTATGAAGGAATTAAAGAGTCAAGCTCATGATAAGTTTGGTGCCGATAATAAGTGCCTCACTATGACCCCCAAGATCTATAATTATCCGTAGAGACCCTTGTAAATCGGCGTAAACGCGCCTACGTCATCCCCGTCAATATCGCCAGCATCATCTCACTTCGTACTGTAAGCTCCCCCCGCCGCTGACTGGGCTTGCATGTTTCATTTTCTCCTCCTACATCATCCCTTTCATTCAGTTGATGTGCACATAAACCTATAACCTCGATTAACTACCAGTATTGCTCACACTTATCGGCCCTCAGGCCCAAATCCATCATCATGGAATCTTTCTCTCTACTCAAGCGTCGTACCACCGACCTCCTCCACAATGTCCAGCAAAACCTCCCCTCCATGCCTATGCCTTCCGTTCCATCCGCTCCCTCAGCAACTCACCAGAAGAAGAGTTCTATGAAAGGAACATGGGAGCGCATTGATGCCCCTGACGTCCCCCGTTCTTCACATTCTCTCAATATTGTCCACGGAACCGCTTACCTCTTTGGCGGAGAGATCGAGCCCCGAAAGCCCGTCGATAATGATATGCATGTCGTAACTTTGCCTTGGTCCTCGGCTGGGGCCGACTACTTCAAGATCAAGGCATCCCCGGCTAAACCAGATGCCCAGCCGAAGAAGCCTGAGGTTCAGCAACCCGTTCAGCCCAAGGCCCCGGAGCCAGTCAAGTCCGACGAGAAGCCGGACGAAGAGGAGATTGAGAAAAAGCTCGACGAAGTTTCTCTTGCGGAGGATGACGAAGAAGAGGATGATGAAGAAGAAGACGAATCTTCAGATGAAGAGGTTGAAAGCAAGTCCAAAGGCAAGCAGCCTGCTGGTCCAGAAAAGCCGGAATTGGGCGACGTCCCAGCTTCACGAGTCGGCCATGCTACTGCTGTCATCGGGTCCCGTATCTTTCTCTTCGGTGGTCGCGGAGGTCCCGACATGCGGCCTCTGAACGAAGGTGGCCGTGTTTGGGTCTTTGACACTCGCTCCAACACATGGACATATCTTGACCCTGCCCCTGTCGTTCCAGGTGGTGCAATTGTCCCCCAACCTGCCCCGCGAAGCTATCACACAGCCACATCGATCAGCCGGCCCCGGGACTTTGCTCCTAAGCGGCCCAAGGAACCCGAGACTTGGGGGCAGTGGGCACTCGGAGACACCTCTAAGACAGGCATTCCTCAAGCTCCTGTTGTTGGTAACGTGGCTGAAGATGCTGTAGATGAAGAGTCGGATGGCTATGGTACCTTCTTCATTCATTCAGGATGCCTCGCCAGTGGCGAACGCACCAATGATATCTGGGCCTTCAACGTCCATGACCGTACTTGGACTGAGCTTCCAGCTGCTCCAGGCCCTTCTCGAGGTGGCAGCGCCATATGTGTGAGCAAAACCCGCCTGTTCCGCTTCGGGGGCTTTGATGGACAAAGCGAGCTTGGAGGACAACTCGACTTCCTCCACCTCGAGGTTGAGACCTTTGACGATAGAGGCACCAAAGGTGAAGTTGCTGTTCGCGCCCGTGGTGGTTGGCAAACCATTCTCGAGAGTGATCCGAACACCGACTCAACTGAAATCCACGCCGAACCAGCTCAGATCTGGCCCGAACCCCGAAGTGTCGCATCTTTGGAAGCAATCACTTCAGGGGCTGGATACGAGTATCTTGTCTTGACCATGGGTGAGCGTGACCCAAGCTCAGAGGGCCACGATGGTGCAGGCAAGTTCTTGAACGATGTCTGGGCCTTCCAAGTTCCGCCTCTGGGCATGACAGCCGCCAGCGTTACCGCTGCCATGTGGCAAGCTGTCGGCCGTAAGACAGGTGAAGGAAAGTGGACGAAGCTTGATCTTGAGCCATACGACGATGATAACAGTGATGAGATGCCTGTGGCGAGAGGCTGGCTTGCGAGCGCCCCGATGGGTGAACTTGAGGAGAGCGGCATTTTGATCTGGGGAGGTCTTGGTGAGGACAATCAGCGTCTCGGGGATGGCTGGATCTTGCGTGTGGGCGATTCCTAGGTGAAAATCATGAGGGACTGGACAGGCAGTTGATTTGGATGTAGTGTTCCTTTTTGGCGTAACATGTTTTTGGCCATTGTATCAAATGAACGAATGGAGCGAAGAAACAAAATCCTATGCAGACACAATACTTCACACAGCATATCATATTGCTATTGACGAGAATCCACGCATTCTATACCTGGGAAAGCATTTGACATGGTGCTATGTACAGTAGAAGCCTCCTCCCGCCGGACACTTTTTGCATTTCTTGCTATTGAACTAAAAAAAAAGAGAGATAATAATGTTATAATTCTACAGGTCTGCCCTTGTGGTCTCGGTTCCCCAGGGTTCCGCGTTAAGGCTTGTTTGGCCAGCACTGTTCTCACATGTGTCTCGGCTGCTGAGAGGACCAGGCTTGGGGACGTTGACGGTGGAGGGATCGGAAGCAGTAGCCTGGGCCCGAAGAGACTTGAGGAGGTCCTTCACGGAGGCGGGGGTGAGATCCTCGTAGTAGTCGTCGTTGATCTGAATCATGGGAGCGTTGACGCAGGCACCGAGGCACTCGACCTCGAGAATGGTGAAGAGACCGTCGGCAGTGGTCTGGCCCTGCTCAATTCCGAGCTCCTCCTTAATAGCCTTGACGATAACATCAGATCCACAGCCACCAAGTTGGCAAGGTGTCTATTGGTGCAATTGTTAGTGGGTTGTACTTTTAGAGTATCCGGTAATCTTCAATGGCGTCTAATCGTCATTGCCAGACTAGCGTGGAGCAATTGCAGTCGACAAAGCCGTGCTTCATGTGGGAAAACAACATACCGTAGTGCAGATTTGAACAAAGTATTTGCCCACGGGGGTTCTGTTGTACATGGTGTAGAAAGAGGCAACCTCGTACACTCGCATAGGAGGCATCTCAAGAAGACGGGCGACCTCGTTCATGACGCTGATGCTGGTGAAGCCGTGCTGGCGCTGGCCGAGGTCTAGCAAAGGCATGACAGCAGCCTTCTTGTACTGGGGAGGGTATCGCTTGAGGATCTCGGCAATGACGGTCTGGTTCTTCTCGTTGAACTTGAAGGGGATGTCGGGGTTGTTGTCCTCGGTGTTTCGATGCTGTCATACGGCCATAGGTCAGACAAGTTGGTTCTCATCGCTAGCAATTGCGCGCCCATAGATCATTCATGATCTATGGTCCAGGGTCGCAATTGACAGCGCCAATTGGCCTACTTACCACCATGAGAGTGTCGCTTCGTCGGCTGGCTGTGAGAGAGAAGGCGGTGCGAGACTGAGGGCGGGCAGCCCGGCACACCGGCCGGATGGCGGAGCGGATGAGGGGAGTGAGCTTGCTCGCCATTGTGAATAGTCTGGTGATGCTTTTCTGAGCGAGCGGAGCGGGTGTCGTCGCGAAGGCGGGAGGGCTTCCAAGGTCGTCGGTTCCGGGTCTTGTCAAAATGTCGCCGTCGTAGCGAGCATTACAATTCGAGTTGGAGCTGCTTGCAAAATCAACGTCAATGATTGGTGTGTTTGGCCCAAGGTTTAGCCGTCCCCGTGTGGGCCGATGGAGAGGTACCTATGTACCAGTATCGTCCGTCATAAGTTGTAAGTGGAGATGGACCTGTGGCTCTCTTCCATTTACATTACTTCACCATCTCATGGAAGCTATCTCATCTTGAACTCAGAAAAGCTCAATCATCGATGTTTTTATGGTTAACTTACGATGATGAACATCCCCATAAACCGTCATTGATGATTGAGTCACTCAAGAACTCAAATCAGCCACCGTCCTCAAGAAAAGAGTAAGCTACCTAGGTAATCTTGAGAATTGCTTTCTCACAAAGACCAAAGGGCATTGGGTTTGATGGACCTGTATTAACAGAAGCTCTGCAGCCCCCTTCACTGACCGAACCTACCCCCAACTCATAGCCACTCTCTTCAACACTTACAAATAATACGCTATTAAAACAAGTTTCGTGGTCTTGGTGGTACCACATGTTCCTCTGTTCTTGTGCGCAATCTCCAAACATCCCTCTCGGTATGTGTATCTAACCA